TTTCTCTAGATTTGAGTGATTGGAATACGTTTTGCGAATGTTCTGAATTATGCAGTTTGTTTTATTTTTGCATAGATAAAAAATTATCTGAGAGACATCAAGAATAATGGGTAATATAATGCAATTGATTAGCCACAGTATTCATACGATCAACATTAAAAATGTGAACTGATTAAGTTATAACTTTAGGAAATAATCAATATCAATGTTTTTGAGCTGATCAAGATACATAATAGTGTGTTAAGATCTACTTTAAATATAATAGATATGTACAACAAATTTATTTGTCAGTTGAGTTCATACATAGAATAAGAATATTGTTAAATTAACAAAAACAAAACAATAGAATACAAAAATGAAAAGCAACAAGGCAAAAAAAAAGTAGAGCTTCACTAAAACAATGAAAAAATTTCTAGTTGAAATTCAGAAATAAATATGAGAGATCGTTTATCTGACAATTAATTATCCTTGAAAAATCACTACAGTTTACTAGAGATTTTTCACTTAACTTATTGTATATTAATAAAATGAGATTAAAGAATACATGGGCAAAACCAGCGTTACGGAATTTCATTTTTTTACATTGTAACAACTATATCTCCTCGCAGATGAAAGCAAACTCTCTGAAATTTTTACCATAGATGGAGACTATGATGGCCTACTGTCAGTAAAAATTTCGTTCATTTTTGTTTGGTCAAACCCGAGTTATTCAAAAAACATTGACCGTTACGGAATTTCAAAAAATGGAAATTTTTTTTAGGGTGAGCTGAAAGTTTAGCAGTTTGTTACGAAACGAAGCAACATGCAAATAAACGTTCTATATAAAAGTTGCTCAGTGTTCCACAAGCTTTTAGAATATTAAGTTATTTTTTAACAAATTTAACTGCATTGAATTAAAAACTAAAAATACTGTTCGTTACGGAATTTCATTTGTTATGGAATTTCACCCTTTTTACAAAAATCGAAGTTCGGACTAGGATAAAAGCAAAGAAAATCAAAAACAACCATATAACCCTCCCCAACATCCGATTCTGCATCAAATGGTATAGTTTTTACTANTAGTTGACATCAAAATTTGTTCTGTTTATATGAAACAGCAGCTTATTGTGTATCAAAGTATAAATTTTTTTCAATGACAGCTGTAAGAACGCCAATTGTTAGTGGTATTAAATCGTTAGCTGTTATTGAAGCATAATACTACTCAAAGCAATCTTTTATACAAAAGCTGTCAAAGTCAGTGCGAATCTCCTTCTTAAATATAATTATTGAATTGATTGTTATTACTCTTATGTACGCCATTTTTATGTTGATAGTTACTCATTCTCTAGATAATAGAACGTGGCTTAATTGCATAAGACGTGTTTCGAATGTATAATTTGTAATGTGACGCTTTGCAATTGATCCATGTTTTCGTGTATACCATATCTTGCTGAATTTTCGAACGAAAATTCGAATCTCGAAAACATTTTTGCAGGATTAAGTGTTTCATACTTTCTGAATGAATGACGACTTTGATCTTGTACGTTACATAATAGAACACATTTGTATCCACAAAAGTTTTGTATTATTCTTAGATATCTTTGAATTTCGAAAAGTAATTTTGCGAAAACTTTACTATTTACTTTTAAAAAAATTCAACAGTTAAAGTTTCTAATTTTAATTTTGATCTTATAAGAAAATTGTTCAATGTAAATAAAATCGAAAAATTTGTTTTTCTTCATTCTTAGGAATCACTAAGAAATAATCGCCGTCGATCAACATAAGAAGAAACATTTCAAACGATTCGAAATTTCAATGGAATTTTAGCTAAACATGCTAATAATTTTCGTTATTTTAATTTTAGTTAGTAAAATAAAAAGAAATATTCCTTTGTGAAGTTTTTATTTCCTTTTTTTTAAAGACTCTATTATTATTATTTTTTTGAAGCACCTGACAGTCTTGTACTTCATTTTAATTCTGATGATCGAATTAAACTTGATCAATCATTATGTTGGGTGTGAGTTTCGTTCTACGAATCAAGCACACTCACAACCGCACTCACACTCCTACCCACCCGCAAATAGAAGCTTTAGTCTGCCTCTGTATGAATGTAAGTAATATGCAGAAGTAATCGTTCTCTAGGCCATGAAACCCACACCCACATCCACATTGAATAAATAATAGGTTAGAAATAAACTGAAATAAAAGTAATTATTTACCAGGCTTTTATGAAACGATCACAGCTTCAGATATCACATAGAACCTTTTTATTTTATTGAGTATAACAAAAGACTGTTTCATAGATTAGTAATCAAATCAAGTGGAAAATTGGTCGGGAATGATTCATCGATCGGTAAGATAATAACTATTCGGACACGTCGATCTTTATTTCAGTGAAATATGACATGGCACTTTAGTGGTTTAATCGAATTCAGTTTAATAGAAAAACAGTCAATTATTCGATTGTTTTTTGTGTTTGATTCTACCTCTATAACTTCACAGCAGTCTTGGTTTAATTTGGCATATTCACTCCAACTGTCGCCAAATACCAATATAAACGACGAGTGACAAGAGGAAAGAAAAAGAGCATGAAGAAAAAAAGAAAATAATAGGTAAGGGGACACCCGGGATTGAACCAGGGACCTCTCGATCTGCAGTCGAATGCTCTACCACTGAGCTATATCCCCATGTTAGTAACGTATCACTTGCCACTTGAGTTTCTAATCAATCTAACAATAGAATGTCTATTGATAATCAACAAAGCAATCAAATCAATAATTGACTATCTTAACAATAAAAGAGTCGTTTTTTTTCCATTCTTGGTAAATCGTTATCTGATGAAATTACTGATGAGCAGCTGTAACTCAACTACCTCTCTTTGAAACATCGGACAACCACTCACCCCGAATTATACAGCTCAGATCTAACATAAAATTCATCATCGTTGATTGAAGACAATTTGAATTTTCGTATAACACATTCAATAGAAGTTTTCAACTCTTTGTCTTGTCTTCTATTCTCTCCACTGAAGGGAGGACCATAAAAAATAAAATGGATTTGTATGCTATTTTTTATGTAGTTGAAAGCATGCATTGCGTCATCTGTGTCCATATAAGGAAGATACCCATCCAGACAAGCATTTTACAATAATATGTGAATATATGTTAAAAAGGATGAATTTCTTTTTAATTTCCGCATTTTTAGACAGAATTTTGTTAAAAAAAGATTTTTTTTTAAGCTGTTTTTTCTTGATTAATTTGAAGTGTCTATAATGCATATAGTACCGTTTTGGATAGAAAACACTCTCTGACCTCGTTTATAGATGGAGCCCAAAGTCATAAACACTGCCATCAGTACTCATGAGAACCGCAGTATACCAGCAGTAGTACAAGCAAACGTGCAACATGTGTATCCATTGTTTTGACATGCTGTAGTTTATTCAATTAAATAGGATACGCCAAAACTGATTGCTTCACCTATGCCATCGTAGGCTGTATTAGATCAACATTTAAACATCTGACACCATGAAATGACCATTTCATCGTTTGTACTCATCCATTCTATCTATGCTGTAACTATCGTATCACAACTAAGCGAGAAAATATTTTAAGTGGAAAAACGATAGTTCTTATTAGTTCTTTGTTTTCGTCTTTGAATAATTTTAGTCAAGTTTCTTACACATCTTTGTGTATTATGTATCATTTATCTATTCTTAACAGAACAGTTGATTGTTTTTTCTTTAAACTTTTTCATATCTACTGGTGCCAGTAGTATTATATATTTTTTAAACAATTTATTGTGTTTTTTTATATAATCGGTTAACAGTTCATATATTTGAGAGATCAACAATTCTAAATGGAGGTCTTAATATGACTGTGGGCACCGTTTAAGGGAAACAACCGTTTAAGGGAAAGTATGGACACCATTATAGAGGCACACATGGTAAATCTGATTGGTTACATGAATTGGAACACATCTGGTTGTATTAAATTACTCTTAAAAATATGTTAATAATTGAAAAAAAAATTAAACTAGTACAGAATTTTTTATAAATTTAAACAGATGTATCTTGTCATCGAGACATTCTATTTTGCAAAGAATTCGAGTTATCCTATGAGACAAGTCGACTTATCCTACAGGATTAGTCACTTTTCAATTGAAACATTCATACTTGTTCACTTAGTATCTTGACTTATCCTATAGGGTAAGTCGACTTGTCTCATAAGATAACTCGAAATACTGGAAAAAAAGTAGAAAAGTAGTTCAGTCACAAGAGTCGAGTTATCTCATAGGACAAGTCGACTTATCCTATAGGGTAAGTCGCTTCTTTTAACTAAAATATTTTTACTCGCTCAACTAGTATTTCGACTTATTCTATGAGATAACTCGACTTGTCCTATGAAATAAGTCGCTTCATATGTTTGAGGAAGTTATTCTTAATATTTCGAGTTATCTCATAAGACGAGTCAACTTATCTCATAGGATAACTTGAATTCGGCACTAAACAAATATCTCAATCAATATACAGAAGTAAATCGGTAGAACAAGTTGAACATTTAAATGTAATGTCAAAAATCTCAAATATGCATATATTATGATAAAAATAGAAATAATAATACATAATTCTATTTTTCAAAAGTCCATATATTATATTTATGGCTAGCTTTTTGTGTTAAACCACTCGCCATTAAATGATTCCATGTGCCTCTACAATGGTGTTCATACTTTCCCTTAAACGGTTGTGTCCCTTAAACGGTGCCCACAATTGTTTGTTTAACTATGCAAGGCTTTGTTCTTTATATGCAATGGTTGGTTCATCACTTATATCTTTGTGTTTCTTTGTTTAAATTTAAAATAAAAGCGATGGATATTTATACATATATTCATAACATACACAAGCGATGTGTTTTCCACACAAGGTATGTTCATAATTTAACTCCATGATTTAACGGCGATTAAGGTTTTATTGAATATATTATCTGTGAATTTATTGGCATAAAGTATTATTCATCTTAATTATCATGACATTTTTTTCACGTAATCCTTTATCTACAACTACCAAGGATGTACGTTAAACACACACTGAATGAGATTCTAATTGATTTAAAACTATCAAAGAAAAAAAATAATCACTTTTTCATTTTAGAATGAAGATCCAAAACCACCAAAAAAAGTCCAAGAACTTCAAACTGAAATTAGTCAGTTGAACATCGAGTGGGGACAGGCATTTAAAGATCAATTGGAGGAAAATCAAAAACTTAAAGAAAAACATCTTCAAGATATTAAAGATATCGTTGAATTATTAATTTTTCGAATGATAACAAGAATTGAAAGTGATGTAGGTGGTGAAAAACGTGAATTATTACCTGATATAGTAGTGAAGAAGGACGACCAAAAAAAAAAGCTCGCATCAATTAATATATTAATGTAACTTAGTTATATTAAATAAATATATAATTTTTTTTTGTTAAATGCGGGTTTTTTGTCGAATACAATGTTTTTTTTGTCAAATGCTCAAATGCAGCTTTTTTTTAGTCAAATGTAATTCTTTTGTCAAATACGGTTTTTTTTGCTCAAATGCGTTTTTTTTTCAAATGTAATTTTTTTTGGTACTATCGCCTTAAAAATTGTTCATGGATGTTCATCCTTTTCTTCAAAATGATTTTTTTGTAAAGTTTTTTTGCCCTCAATTCTAAAGTAATGTCTATTTTCTGCATATGTATAACATTTAAATGATTAAAAAAATGCAATTAAAGGAATCGATGTTTTCTACTAAAACCAAAAGAAAATATGTTGAACAAGATAAGAATATAAATCCTGTAGTGTAGGATTAAGTTAAAAGAATTTCTTAAATAGTATTTGTTACATTTTATCAGATATATTGTGAAAAAGTTTCTGATTTACTTAATAATAAAAAACGTTTACGGGTATTAGAAGATCAAAAAAATCTTGTTCAAGTTTGTGATCGAAAAGAACAACAAGTTAAATCTGTTCAAGATGTATTAAATATCATCCAACGTAAGTCGTCAATAATTTCTCTTTTTCTTTAATTAAAATTCAATATGATTTAGATGGTATGAGTATTCGAACATCTGGTACAACAGCAGCTAATTCAAATTCTTCTTGATCACATGCTGTTCTACAAATTATTTTAAAAACATCATCATCTAATTCTATTCCTTCAAATATATCATCAACACGTAATAATAATCCAGCTGTACATCGTCAGTTCATGAAAGAAGTTGGTAAAATGTCTTTAATTGATTTAGCTGGTTCTGAGCGTGGTAAAGATACAGCAAGTGGTGATCGTCTTCAACGTATGGAAGATTCAGAAATCAATAAATCTTTATTAGCATTAAAAGAATGTATTCGTGCATTGGGTCGTAGTGATGGTAATCATATACCATTTCGTGATTGAACATTAACAAAAGTATTAAGAGATTCATTTATTGGTGATAAATCAAAAGTTTGTATGATTGCAATGATTTCACCAACACATTCTAATGTTGAAAATACGATGAATACATTACGTTATGCTGATCGAATGAAAGAATTAAGAGTTGGAGATAATTTAAATAAAGATAATCAAATATAAAAAAGTTTGATCAGCTCTAAAGATCTTTGAAAATAATAATTTATTTTATTTAGCTTTACTTATTGATGATAATAAAGAAACCCGACGTCACCATCAGGGCTGCCACATCCAAATTTCAAAAACCAGGAGTTACTTACAAAAAAACAGGAATTGGCCAGGAAACCTTTACTGCAAAACCGGGAGAAAAACCAGGAGATGTTTATTGAGACTAGAAAGCTATATTGTTGTCTTATTTTGAAGAGCCCTGAAATTTTCGTTTCATGTAAGCGTTTGATATTTACTGCTAGCAAGTTAGTGATGGGCAGTTTTTTTCTGTGAGTCTTATATGCGAAAAAATATAATTGCATGAATTCTATACTACTAATGTCGGATTTTTTTTAAAGTATTAACGACCATTTTCTGAACAACTTTTGATTACTTTGAGTTATCGAGCTGCGGTTTTCACCATTCAAAAGAGCAAGCCGGGGGCTACAAAATCCTACTGATTTTGAATGGTCAAGCAATTGACCAACCAGGAGAACTTTTGCTGGACAGTTTGTGAGCTGCCTCGTGCTACTAATTTTCGTTCAATTTGAACTTTCAATGATATTAATCGATAGAGAAAATTGTTCTCTTTCGATCNCTGAGTACGAGTTTATATATGGATAAGATTTAGGTTCCATATATTGAAGATCTATGTTAGATACGATACCAAGTTTAAAGTGACTTTTGGGACACCCTGCAATGCATAAAAATGGTTTGACCTCTATACATTATTTTTTGTAAACGCTGAATCATTTTATCGTCATTAGATTAATCATTTTAATGATTAATCAGAAAGCATTTCACAGGATTGTTTGTGACAGTTTTTTGCCATTTTAATGATCTAAATTTTCGATCATTTTAATGCCATTTTCCCGTTGCAAATTTTGGCTGGGTTGAGGGTGGATGTGATCGTGAAGGAAGAGAAAAGTCATACTCACGGCCACCAATGAATGAATCCTTACTACTTGACTGCTGGCTAAGAAAATCGTAAAAGTTTTGGAGATATTTGTAAATCTACCAGAACCTATCGACATCTATGGTACAGGAATAGTATTTTTGTCGAACCTGTACTATTTGAGAAGAAAATTTCTGTAAATCTTTTGTTTTCGTACTAACTCAACAGAAATTTTTCGGGTACTACTGTAGTTTAGTCACACTCTCGCTTTCACTCACACACTGATTGTTGTGTTCAGTGTAAGAGTGTGACTAAACTGCAGAAGAACCATTTTTCGTCCAGTATACATTATGAATATAATGCTCTAACCAATGCCAGTGCAGTGTTACATTCTGTTGTTTTTTTTTACTATTTCTCTTTTTTCATTTTGATATTTCTCGATCACCAGCTAACAACAGCTCTGCAAGCAAAGGAATGACGGACGCAAGTGACGCACATTATTATGAAATTATCTATGATTCATCAGCAGACCTCACAAAAAAACAATCAATATGATGCTATCTCTAAATCTTTTTCTTAATGCTCACCGCTTCATTCACCCATGGATGTATGAGTGAGGAATAAGTGGGTCGAGAAAATGTAGTTCATTTTACGTTTATCCGCCCGACGTGGCAGGGAAGGCTATTTTCGCATGAAAACTTTAGTAGAGTTTCATAGAGCATCTACTGTGTTTTTATCAGTATTCTTTTATTTTTAGAAACAAGAAAAATTATTTATCGTTTCAATCTATCTGCTTCAATTCAATTGCCTGTCGAATTCAAACTACAATAAAAATTTTTGGAAATGGAACGTCGATTAGATCACATTCTGGATATCTGTCGAAATATTTCAAGACGCCGAGGTGTTCACTCTGTTATTGCTATGCAAGTAGCTGGATTTGTATATACAAATGTTGGTGATACAGTTCGGTGCAATGATTGCCGACTAGAAGTATCCGGTTGGACAGAAGCCATGATTCCTTTTACGATTCATGCAGAACGCAGTCCAAACTGTTCATTCGTTCATTTCATACGAGCATCTAATCAAAGTGTTGCTTTATCATCATTGACGTCACCAATCACTTGTCTAAACAGAGTCAATAGAGAATCAACTTGCGAGAACATTTCCGAAAATAAAAAGCTCGATGGAATTGAAGTAAAACTTCATCCACATATGTTCGCAAAGCCGGACAAAGTTGAACAAAGTCGTCGTCGAACTTTCTCGAGAGCGACTTTTCAATGTACATCGTGTCGAGAGCAGATGATCAAAGCTGGCTTCTTCAGTTGTAATATTGGTGATCGAGTCATTTGTCTTGACTGTAATCTTATTTGTCATCAATGGATACTGCATAGCGATGATCCATGTGAGGTGCATCAAACTCTCTCGCCCGAATGTCCTATTGTGAAAAACATGCGAATACCCAGTCAAGCTGCATCTCCATCAATTGTTAATGCTAATTCGACGACCAATCACACAGCAGGCGCAGTTGTAGTAGATACATTTCGCTCCAATGGAATCGTTCCCATTGTACCTCAGAATTTAGGCTATGTAGATATTCCAACACGCAGTGCATCATATGCTACTTGGACAAATGGAACTCTGCCCACTGTTGAGAAATTTGTTGAGGCAGGATTCTTTTATACGGGTAATGGCTCAATTGTTACTTGTTTTTACTGTCGTGGATCGTTGCAAGGTTGGAATGCCGATCATAATCCAATGATTGAACATGCCAGATCGTTTCCACACTGTGCGTACGCTAAACAGCTCTGTGGAGATGATCTTCATCGAACAATTCAGGAATCGACGCGAGATGGTCAAAGTACATGCACGATATTTTTTTCAAGAAAATACTCAAATTAACTTTTTTTTTTTTTTTAATATAGGACTCACACGGACCAACAATTCAACAACAAGTAATACTTTTGATGACCAACAACTACACATAACCGATGAAAACATGCTGACAGATCTGATAAATGCTCGTCTGAGACTGTCTATGTCTCAAAAATTGCTTGCTCAAGGTTTCCCATTGTCGATTATCAAGCTTTATTGGAAAAATCAACTGAAATTAAAAAGTAGATCGAAATATTCTATACATTCCTAATAAAAAATGAATGTGCGATTTGAATGTAGTTTTAGAAGTCGTCTTGGAATCTGAATGTGATCTACAAGTGGCTTGTATCATTCTTCAAAGACAAATGATTCATATTGATAGAAGAAAAGAGCAAATTATTATTCCTGCTGAGGGAATGCGTCAAATTCATGAAAAACAACAACAATCAAGTATATTCAACACAAAATGATATGTATTCAATTGAATTTCTTTAATTTGATGATTTTGTAGGAACCCGTGCTGCTACAGTACAAATTCCGGTTCAAGAGACTGCACTGCCAACAAATGCGTTGAATGCTACTGATATCGGAATGAATGTAATACCAGAACCATCAATGAATCAGGCGATTCCAAGAGAATTAATGCCAGCAAATCTGTGTATGTTCTGCTTAAGTGAAGAAAGACGTCTCGCTTTGATGCCGTGTGGTCATATGGGCACTTGTCTTGCATGTAGTCGTTCGTTTAATTCATGCCATATATGTGGACGAATGATCAAAACGTTTATTCGTATATACATTTCATGAATCCAACACCGTCATACTTGGTTAACGAACAGTACGAAATTGATGAACAGTCTTTACTTGAAAACTTTCATAATGTCCGAATCCCGGTCATGCTTCACTGACGAGCGAACATATTCAACTGTCAAACGCCATTCAATCTCATATTTTGGTTACGAGTAAAACTCAGTAAACCTAAGAAAATTCTAACAGGGTTTAGACACATACATCATCCAACTAGAGTGAAGCTGTCTTAGACGCTCGATATCTCAAATTAAAATATTGACTCGGATCATTTTAGACTTTTCTTAGTTTCATTGAGTTCTATTCATCGCCAATATATGTTATTGAACAGTGTTCGACAGTTGGATATGTTTCCTCGTGAAACTATGAACACGTCCAGTCAGTTCGCAATCGAACCTTGGTCCAGACTAAGCCTGCGCAATGTCAGCCATAATGATCCAAACAAATCACTCGTAAAATAACAGTTTGATGATTTTTTTTAGTCATGTGTTCATGTGGAGTTTTTCTATATTCTTTCGCAGTCTTTCTTCAACATAAATATTATAAGAATGTGGGTATACTTATATATAAATAAATGAATAGAATTTTCTATAAGCATATGTGTATAATGCCATTCAGTATATGTGTGAATTTTATGTTTATTTTTAATAATTGCATAAATTTTCTATTTACGAAAAAGTCACTATCAAATTTCATAAATAGTTGTTCTTAATCTTGAAAGACTACGAGCACCAACTTGGAAATAATTATGATCAATATTTTGAACACAATCAGTACCAATATCTGAAACACCATCATCTAGTAATCATTAATGATAATAATCCAATTTTGATTTTATAATTTCACCCAGTTTTAGTTGTCGTTTAAATGTAATCCAGTATGTGTATGAATTTTATTTTGATAGCTGAATGAATTTCCGAGGGTGTTCATACGTATACTATATAACACGATGCATATATATTAGGTGTTTCTGTTAGCAATGTTTTCACTTACACGCCTAGTTTCATCTTCTTACCTACCGACTTCTATATGTCAATTCTTTTTGATTGAGAATTCATCGAATGAATGACAATATTTCTCTTTTAAATATATTTAGTGATAATCTCTACTAAATAATTGAACGAGTCGTATGAATATTTAAATCTTTTCATATATTGTTGACCAACAATAAGAATATTTGAACATATAGCATTTCGAGCTCAGAAAGCAATAGCAATGATTGATACTGATTTCATTTGATCACAGAAGCAGGTAAAAAAACTAGAGAAATAAACAATTTATGAATGCAAAGAGTATCGACATTCGCACATTAGATCTTTATGTATTCCTATTCTCACAAATCCTTATTGCCAGATATTACAAGTGTATTTAGAACAAATGGATCAGGACAAAACAAACAACGTGAATCAATTATTTATCTCTTATATCCTGATGTGATATAGTACAGAGTAAGTGATATCAATGTAATGCATATCATCTATGAATCCTCAAAAAGATTATTGCTAAGCAAAAAAGAAACTTTGCAAATGCTAACAAGTAATTACATATCTCTCATAAGAATTTATATCAATTATTCTCTGTGCATATGTTAATTCTATAATTTTGAAAGATTTAAACAAAACTCAGCTTCATTTTGGGCTCTATACAAAAAAAACATTCATTTGATTTCATGTCGTATATGACAAATAAAATAATATATTATTATAACGTACTTCAATGTTAAAGTGAGTTTTTCTTTCTCGTCTGCTCTTAAAATGAAATAACAATCTATGATTTCGTATTTCAATTCGCAAAAAAATCCTCATTCTTTGTTATGCAGTGATTTATTGAGACATAAATATATGTCAAAATCGATTAAATCCTTGTAAACTAGGATAAAAAAAATACATATATTTCTGTTTATTTTGTTTAAATGTTATACATCGTTTCAATTTGATGTGCAAGATCTAATCGATTTAGTTTCTGTGTTGAAAGAAATGAATGTAATTGAGCAACAGTCGGTGATGGTGATGTACTATTACACCAAGTAGATATAACTCTACCAGCAGGATATTGAAGACTTTGTGATAACCAATGATCAATTTCGGATTCATCTATTCCAATTAATCGTGCTAATTCAACCCATTCAGATGAGCTATCTCGTGATCGGTTTTGATGTTGACCAGAATTTAAATCATTGATATTTGTACTGTAATGTGAACCTATTTTTTTGTAAAAATAAAAGCAAAAAAACTCAAAGTAAAATAAATTTTATAATAGAAAACTAACTTCTTCTTGAAGGTGGTCTTTGAATATAATTATCTTTACTAAGTTCTTTGATAATTAACATACGTAAATTTGAATCCATATTATCTACTAATGTATTACTTGCTAATGGTAGATGAGATTTTTGTGAAAATAATTTTTGTTTTAATTGATCATCATTTTTTATTTGTTGATGATCAATTTCTTCATCATCATTAATTATATTAACTGCATTAGCAAATAAAACAGTTCGCTTTATGTTTGAAGATCCATTACTATTATGATGTTCTTTGTCTTCATTTAGATTTGATAAAATTATAGATGATGATGTATAAGAATTATTATCTCGTTGTTCAAGATCAGAAGAATTCTGTTGATCATTTATTTCAATAAGTTCTTTACTAAGTGTTTGTTGTGAACGTAGCTTTTGTGCATCATTAACTATTGAGAATGTTATTTTTGAGTAAGTTAGTATAGTTAATCAAATAAACTTACTAGATCGAATATTAGGAGATGAAAAAATAAGACAAACATCTTCAAGATTTAATCGATGTGAATGAAGAATATCAGTAGTTTTAGAATTTAATTTTGTAAATGTATTCATTTCTAATTGATCGACTAAAATAATGTATAATTATTTATATTAATAAATTTATTATCGTCTTGCTTACCTATTGTAGCATACATAATTTGAAGTAATTGTGCATTTTCTTTCCATAAATCACGTTCACGTGCAACAAATGTTAATCGTTGATCTGATGTAAGACGTTTTCGAAATAGATTTGGTTCGTCAATAGATAATTGTGTGATCCGTTTTTGAACAGAAACTTTTTCTTTATCATCTATTTCTTGAAAAAGATTTAAAAAAGCTGTTCGATAATAACATATATCATCGATCATTGGCAATAATTTATCAAGAGATATATCCGATGGTTGTTGTTTTGTTAAATCGATTTCACTTTTATAATCATCAGTATTAACATTTTCTATTATTTTCGAACAAATACTATTCAGTTTTAAGCGAATTTCTTCACGTTCACGTATTAATCCATCAATTTGTTCTTGACGATGATCAATAACATCTTCTTGGGGAACATTTTTCTTGCCTTTCTTGGTGGTTGATGAAGAATCAATTCTTTTACCACTACTCTTTTTACTAGATGATAAAGATCGTGCGGACATACTTATATGTAAAACAACAAAAGAAAAGAAGGGATTAAATCTTTATTCTTTTAGTATTATTTTAATATATATATATATATGCTGTGACGTTGTTCGTATTTTATTTTAGAATCATTATCGATATATGTTTGAGATCATATATCAAATGCTGATGAAATCCTTACCTCTTTTATAATCAAACAATAACAAAAAGTGACGACTAAAAAAATTGGAATATCTTAAATTTTAAATTAAAGAGAATAATAAAAGAATGAGAAAAAGGTAAAAGTTCGATTTTATGACTTTTTGTATACCGATGTTTGTGTATTTGAACGATGCGTGGTTCTCGTCATGATTAGATGGAGAAGAAAAAAAAATGAAGAATGAAAAAAAAAACGAAGCGTATAACAATTTAAAAAACATAAGTAAGACACACAAAAATAACAATCATGTTATTTTTATTAAACATTTTTATGAATCGAGTATGGATTCAGCACTCTAGTCTGTCAAACGATAAAAAAAAAGCTTCTCGATTATACATATATTAAAAAAACGAATCGCCGAAAACGTTGTTACCATCTATTTAGAAAATATTTTCGACTACTCAGTGTTGATATCATGGGTAAAGACTTATTAAAGTGAAAGTATCGCTAAAAGATAACAGTACATGTACTTTTGTTCGAATGAAATACATAGTTTCTTCATATAATCAAGACAAAATAAACTTAGCAAAAAAATTTTCTTTATGGATATGTCAGTCAAATGTACTCGCTCATAAATGATTGTAAATGGAGATAAATGAAATTTGTAACTAAAGTATATAGATTATATGTCGTTAAATTGACACACATCAGTTTTGAAAAAACAAGACTTCTTTTATTTAATTCAACAAGCAAAAAAAAAAATATTCACTTCTACGTCCATGACGAAACACTTGAATTTAGATTTAATCGCAAGTTAAGGACATTCAATGAGAAATTTGACCTATTTATTACAAGTAAGACTCCATTCTATTTTTTTTTCATTTATTCAACATTTGTTTCTCTATCTTATTCAAGCAGAAAACAACGAAATTCAAGCTCAAAGCCTCCGCTTTACCCATATATTCTGAATTATTTGAGAAACAATTAACTATTATTTCTCATCCAAATTTCTTATTTTAACTCAGTTCACGTCATCAAATTAGTTAAGCAAACATGTTTTAGTATTCAGGAAAAAATATTTTTCAAAAAAAAAAAAAACAGAGATGATTAAGAAAATTAAACTCAAGCAATTTAACAAATGAAATTATCGATTAATCACAGATAGTAGACAGATTGTTTTCTTCGTTTAATTATTGCTTTGTATTAATCGAAATTAACTTCAATTGATAATCTACAAACATTGTCTAGCATTTATTTTCAAAACAAAAATCTGGAATCAACTGTTTTCTTTTTGTCTATTTGTCTCTCATATTCTTGTTATTTGTTTTTAGTTAATATACAGTATAATCTATAGAAAATATATACTAGAATATTTTCGTAGATCTGTACTCGATGGAATCGAATGCATTAAAATATCACATCAAATTCACTATAATCGTCAAAAAAGTTTAATCATTATTGCTACACTATTTACTTTTACATAATTGTTTTGTTTAATTAAAGAAAACCATAAACTTGGAGTGCTAATTTCAAACATATTCTTAGAATAAGTTGATCCGTTCTTTATTGTTGTTTTCTCTTCCATTATTAAATTTGTCAATGGATCAAGATAATTTTTATCATTTGTTCAGTCGGATTCGCAGAAAAGCAACTAATAGATGATACAAAAGCCTTTTTGAAAAATGTCAAATTCTGTTATATCCCATTAGTGACTTCTAAATCAAAAACAAATTTGTGAGAAAGAGCAATGTCTAAAGTACAAATTTTTACCGAACATATTTTTTTAGAAGAAGCCTCATGAGAAGAGCTCTTGCATTGTTTTCCAACTTGAAAAGTTTATATTTCTAAATTATTTTGAGCTACATGAATGGATCAAATGGGAACGAAAATATATCAATATGTAGCGCATGAAAAAATTCTATCGATACCAGTTTTGACAAGAATTTTTAGATCTGTCCCTGTCACTTTAATAAAAGAAAAGTTTGAAAAATGAAATTTTTTGTAAAATATAGCCTTCTTCAAGAAATATTCGTTTACAAGGACATCAGTCATCATCCCCAAAAGTTATGCATGAACTGAATTCTTTCTGCCCTATTTATTCGACATATTTCAGATCATAGCAATTTAGCAGAGAAACTAAATAAATAAAAAAACATTTTTTTACCGTTGCAAAACAGTCAACTTACTCAGTCTTTTTTTTTTTTTTTTAGAAAAAACCATATATTAATATAAAAATCAAGAGTAAATATAACTTAAATATACCATTGAAAAGAGCACTTTTTATGCTACAAAATATTAACATCAAATATTTTTTTTCCTTTTCTTTCTAATTAAAATAAAGCTAACAAAAAAAAAAAAAAGAATGCTGTTAGTCGATAGTGAAGTTGTAAAAGCTTTCTTTTCGGAGTGTTCAATTTTGAGCTTTTCTTCATGAGGTTCCTTCTGCAAAAATACCTTCTAGATTTATTCTAGGCTCAACAGGTTCTATCTAATGATTGAGATATAATCTCAGATGATTCTCTCGTGAAATGATATTTTTAGTGCATGCATATGACAATTAACGTAGCCCTCCAACATTTCACATGTAGTGGAATTATGATTCAGATATTATTTGTCTCTTGTAATTATTTTATCTCGACCATGTTGGTAAAAGTGCTCTTGTTCAATCCTCATTCGATAGCTCAATGTTACAGCTATCTTTACTTTCAATTTTGTAAATCACTTTAAAATGATCGACTTATTACTTTCTCATGTAATAACATCTATTGAAAATCAAACGCTGAATTTTTGCAATATGAATCATTGCTCATGATAACTTCGATTTGTATATTGAGAAATTCGTATGAGATAACAAGACCGCGATGAAAGTTTCAAAGTTGCAGCACTGAAAACAAAGCAAAAGTAATTACTTGATGGCCATAGAGAAATGATCAACAAACACTTGTTGAGTAAAAATTTCTATTGAATACGTTTTTTTACAAGCAGAAGATCATGTTGGAATCATAATACTAGTACATGTGAACCGATAAACGGCTGAGTGGTGCTCCTGATTAGAGTTTATTGTCACACGTATACACTTGAAATAGAAGTAGTTCAAGTGTCAATGTAGTACAAAAAGTCATTCGGCAATTTTTGTTGTGGGAATATTAGACACAATATCCTACTATTTGTGATATAACACATCTACAGAACAAATATAGAAAACTTTGCTCTTATGAGGAAAAAAAAAAGAAACTTCGATTCGTTGAAAACAAATGTCAAAATTGTAACTTATTAGAGATATTTGAGTTTTGATAAGTCTATTGATAGACTCTCTGTTTAAGAATTGAAGTTCAACATAAATGGACGACATCTATGATTAGATTATTTCTTTTCATGTTTATTATGATTGTTTATTTAGTTTAGAATTGTGGTGCTGCGGTTACGCGCATGCTTCCATTCATCAATGCTTGATTCTCTCTTTTTTTTTCTTCTTATTTCATCGATTGAGGTGTTTCGTATAAATGACCTCATTATTTAACGGTGAACAAGAAGAAAATTTATTTGTTCACAATGAACAGCCATCGACAAATCTTCAACAAACTGAGAATTTTGATGGTATTAAATCAATTCAACCTATTCACTCAGCTTCATCAATAACATCAACACCGATACTAAATCAACAACGGCAACCATATCGATCTTCATCATTTCAATTATCATCTCAGCAAACACGATATACTAATTCGAATGATAGTGAAAATCGTTTTATTGTTTGGCAAAAAGAATATGATAGAAAGATTGAACAAATGAATGAAATAAAAACTACTGAATTAAATAAATTAAAATTTTACTATGAAACAAGATTACATGAATTAGAAGATAATAATAAACATTTAGAAATTATTTCAGGTCAGATAAATGAAGAAAATAAACGTTTAAAAATTGAAATTGAACATGAACAAGAACAAAATAAAATCGAACAAGTAAAAATTTTATTTTAAAAAAGTAAAAATTTTATTTTGTTGTCTTTTATTACAATACAGAAATCATTACAACAACATTTAAAAGAATTTAAAAATACTTTAGAAAGAAAAATTCACGAAATAAAATTTATTCATGAAAATGATAAACAAGAAATTAAACAACAACATTCAAGAATATATCAAGATTTATTAGATGAAACAAATCAAGTAAATATCTATTTTTTTGTTAGTATTATAAAAAAAAAAAGTAATATTCTCTTAATTGTTAGCGTTTAAAAAAAATGGAAAATAATTATAAATATGAACAATTATCAAATGAATCAGTTATTGATGAAATGGAAAAACGAATGGTAGATTTACGTTCAAATTTTGAACATCTTCAACAATTGAAACAGAAACTTGAAGATGATAAAATTCAATTAATTAAAACTAATGAACAATTACAATTACAGGTATTTTGATTACGTAGAATTCTGACTACTAACGATTATCAATGAAGAAATCGTATTGTTGATGTATATTACAGGCTAAATGATCAGAATAAAACTAGGCATTTATTTTGATTAAATACTCAGCTAAATAACAGACATATTTTTCTATAAATAGAACATCAGATGATAGACATCGTATTCCTGTTTTTCATGATTTGAAAAACTCAAAGCTTTGCTATAGATCTCAACATTTTCGCTTCCAGGATGAAATGAACAGTAATCGAATAGAAAAAAATGTATATTGTTTAGCTGAATATTTACTCGAAATATGCTATTCCTACGCGTTTAACGTACTTAATACAATTTCGATAATTTATGAATAACAGAAACATGAATATTAATAATATAAATAAAAATTTAAAATGAAGGTCGAAAGTGTTGATAGACCGTTTGCGTGCTTCTTTAGCTGTGCTCTTTAATTCATGTTATGACCTTGAATTTCTTTTTAATTTTCTGTTCGATACTGTCACACACAAGGTCAACAACGTTAAAATTAGAACTATAAACTTAATCATTATCATTAGTTTAGTATTATAGTCTTAACTTAAACTCTCGACACATTAGAATGAGAAAATCGTTCGTAAGAAGAGTATTCTTAGAACATAATAACTAAAAAAATCGATTATCAAAGAAGATTTTCTAATGTGCCGAAGACTTTATAGAATATGGTGAATGAAGCATGCAACGCTTTATCAACATATTCACGGTGATGTGATTCACCGGTGTGTCACATTATAGTGTACACATTTTGGTAAAAAAAAAAGGTTTGACAAATAAATGATGGTGCTAGAGTTAAAGTACTAAGCGTTTTCAGATGGATCTGTCAATCATTTAATGATGAGGAGAAAAACATCGAAAACGACGTAATTTAGTTTGATTGATATATATATATATCATTACAATCCGCCATTTGTTACATTATTCTTGTCCTTTCTCTCTGATGACTATTTATTAATCATCGAAATACTTATGATATATGTAAAAAGAAAATTGAGACAACTTACAATGAATTTTAGTAGAACATTTTTGAACTAGTCTTTCATATTCATGTCATGTATATAAATCAAAAATATATATATAACAGTTAATGATTATTCTCTTCAAATCTACCAAAAATGAAATGCTAAAATAACATAAAATTGCTGTTTCAAGAAATATATTTCGCGTTTTCTGTGTTGATGATTTTTTGATCGCACGATCTAGAATTCTCTGTCGACCTTAATTCTATAGATTGAATTTTTCTATTTGGTTGAAAGAGCGAGCATGTCAGAATGCAGGACATGATAGAGTCACTTTTTTGAATTAAGCATTGTTACTATTATATAAACAAACAGTTATGCAAATAGACCCTCATTTTTAATAGAGGTTTTTTTTAGACCTTCAACTTTTCATTCTTTTGTTTTCATAATAAAAAGTAAGAATTTTAATAGATGGCCTCTGACATGCCCTGCATCCTAACATGTTTCTTTAATCAAAAAAAAATTAAATATATAGAATGAAGGTCGACAAAGAATTGCAAATTGCTAAATGAACTTTTTTTGACTCGTTTTGGATGAACATCTTTCTCAAATGTTATGATATAGAAATAATACTCTATTTTCTGATCACAAACTAAATACTTAATAATAAAGTTTTTGACGTTTTTAATTGCCATCAAATATTAGACTTACGAGGGAACCGTTTCAAGTGATTCACGCCGATTTTGCTTATATTTTGCCCATATGTAGGGGTCAGTATGCTAAGAAAAAGCCTAAGAGGATTTAGGCCCATGTTGCTTCTTTCGANGATTTTGTTGTATAGCGATATGAGTAAAAATATGCAATGTTGCAATCGTTCTAACTAATTCGATATAACCTACCCATGTAGTAGTTATCATTATGCTAGATCAATGTTATCATTCCCTTTCTACTGTGTCAGCGTTCTTTTTTTTCTTTCGTTCGTTTTGTTATCTCAGATACTAGTGTCATTTGTCTCATTTTTTTTTCTTTTTTGATGGAATAGAGGAAAAAAACAGAACAAATCGAAAAAGTAACTCAGAATATGTGATTTATATGACGATTAGAAACATCATTGGAAATGTTTTTTTTTTCATTTAACCCTTCGTTTTGTTTTAAACTATATCGCAAATTGATTCATTGTCTTATATAAAGTTTAATAGATGATTTTTTCTTCATTGTGTCAACTTATGTTATCTTATCAAAGATCATTCTGTTCGATTGCTAACTTTATCTTATAATATCGTAAATATGAGAATGGAATATTTTAAAGTTTTTCTTCTGTTTGAACCATACCAGTATTTCATTGACGGATGTGATTTTTGGTAAATGAGAGAGAAAGCGCAATTAACGAAAGGTTAAAGGGAACGAGTCATTTCATAAGAAAAATCTTCTCACGTAATAAAAAAAACTTACTAAATTAGAGCTGGTGCATTGCTTAATGGACTACTAGATTATGAGTGGTCCTGGAAGAATATAAGAATAAGCTGTTATCTAGTGGATTTTCCCTTTAGAACTCACATTCTGCAGCAAAATCTTAGAATTGAGATGTTCCAAATTTGTGTCACTTTTCATACAAATTAGTCTAACTGATGAGGAAACCACTTTTTTGGGTTCATATTGGACCTACAAGGATGACTTGGTAAGACTAGCAAAACTCTAAAAGAGTTTATCACATGTGCCTTCGGAGTCGAGTTATAATCATTTTATTAAATTTTCGACATGAAATTCAACTCATAGAATATGCTGTAAGTTTCAGACGACAAAAATGTTCTTATGTTGAGATATCAAATTTCAACAAAAAAAAAAGAATCGCTTGCCACAGGCATGATAAGAAAGTGATTATTTGTTTTTTGAAATTAGATATCTCAACAAAAGAATATTCTTTTCAGTTGAAACTTTCAGCATATTTTACGAGTTATTCGATGTATATATGGGTTCAATATTACGTCGAAATTCTGGGTTTTTTTTTGGTTTTTCGGTATGTATCTGAAGATTTAGTAAAATGATCATAGCTCAGTTTCAAAGGCATATGGTGATGAACTCTTTGACGAGGAAAATTTGATATCAACTTGTACCGGGATCTTCGTAGAGATTTCAGTCTAGTAGTCGTCTAAGTAATGCACGAAATATGAGTTCGCAAGCTTATGTCTTGGAATTCTAGAAAGGACTCTAAAACTTTTGGAAGGCGCTCAGCTTCTACAAAAATAGGCATAGTAAATAGTATACAATGGATAAAATTCGATCACTTCGAATATTAAATCTGATTAACTTCGATAATGTAAAGAGTTTTTGCAATACCTGTAATTCTTGACATGTATTTTCAAGTTTTTCTTTATCGTCAGTCATACGATTTAATTGTCTTTTTGTTTCTGTTTGATTAAACGTCTCCATTGATTTACTTGTTAATAAATCAGTATATTGTCTTTGACAATCATGTAATTGTTGATTTAAATGACTGATTGTTTCCATTCTTTCGAAGATAGCCTAGAATATATATTTACTGATGAAAGAAAACAACAGAATTTTTATACAATGTTTTTACTTTTTCATTATTTTTACAAGCAGATTCTAATTGAACACGAAATTCATCAACTTCAATTGTCTAAACATTGAAAAATCTTTTGTTTTTCATTAATTATGAAAGGGAAATCCTGTCGGATAAGGTGACCACTCTTGATTTAAAAAGCTGTTTATACTATTCTTTAGAGTAACACGTGGTGTATTGAATAGTATATAGGAAGTTACATTTTCATCAAGTTTTAATATTTTAAGTAGTCAAATGTCTGTTAAGGAATATTATAGCAATTAAGGGTAATATGATTCAGTCGATTGTATCTGATCTTCAATTATATATATATAAGTTTCACAAACAGTTTTTGTACTCAAAAACGCGTCATTGTTTCTTAGGTAACCGTATTGAAATATCTTTAAAAACAACTTTATAAGCAAGAAAAGAAAGAATTATGTTTTTGGTAATTGTCCTTTTAAAATCAATTCGATATGTTCTACAATCTAGATGAATCAAAAAAGTTTCTTCTGCTAGAAAAAATTAGTTTTCATTAAAACTTAATGAAAATGTAACTTTCTATATACCATTTGATGTACTACATGTTACTCTACAGAATGGTTTTTTTAAATGAAGGACAGTTACCATATCCAATAGTATCCTTAAAATCAAACCTTTTCTTGTAAATTCATTTGAGTAATTTGTAATTTTTCATTAAGATTAATTATTTCTTGTTCATGTTTTTCACGTGTACTTGCTAAAATAAGTTCGCAATCTTGTTGTGTACGTGCAATAGATTCAAATCTTTGTAGTTCATTAACTTTTCTATGAAGTGAATCAATTAATGATTCAGCATCATCTAATTTCTTTTCAAGCTATTTAAGAAAAAACAAAAATATGTTTTTTTTCAGTTTGTCGAAAAGAAAATTTTCTTTTACTTGTGTTTTATTTCCTTCTAATTGTTGAATTTTTAATTCTGCATCTTTAATTGTTCGTTGTAATTGATTATTTGTTTCAATTAATTCTTCACATTGTCTAGTTATTGATTGATAACGTTGTTCACAATCATATTTAGCTCCTGTTAAAACACAAAAAAAAGGTTAGAAAAAAAAAATCCGTTTGTTTTTATTTTTTTTTGGTTCATTTACTTTCACTTAATTCAATTTTATGTTTAAGTACACGTAAATCGCTGTTATATTTTTCATGATATTCAGTTAAACGATTTTCAAGTTCATTTATTTTTCGTTCTTTAACATTACATAAAATACGAAATTTATTTAATTGATTTTGTGTATCAGATGAATTCATTGATGATGTTTGATACATAAATTGTGCTTGCATTGGATCGATTAAATCTATTGTTGGTAATGAATCAAAATATTGAACACCTGTTGATGCTATATTATTATTATTTGTTTGACGATTGGAATTTTGATAATGAACTAGAGCAGAACTTTTTGTACTAAATTGTATGTCTTGTTCAGTATTATTATGTTCATCGAATTGTTGATAACGTGGATATGTATATTGAGTATGATCATCAAACTAAATGAGATGATAGAAGAGATATAAAGAAAACAATATGAATGAATAGCATACTCGACGAACATCTGTTGAAGCTGATGGTGGAACTAATGGGGGAGGAGTAGAGACAGCTGGAGTAGAATATAATGGTTGTTGATATAAATGATTTCGATGAAGTAATCTTAATTAAAGAAAGATTATTTTTCAATAGATATAACATTAAATTTTGATAAGTTTTAATTAATCTAATATTTTATGTGTTACTAGATATTATGACAAATTTTTATGATCGCTAAGATTTCTATATTTCAGAATAATGCTAATACAGTGTTTTAAAGTGAAATTGCACATGAATAGATTTTCTCTGGAAGATTTTAATCATGAATAATTTGCTTGATCTTAACAATCAAAAGAAAATCAGTAGATTTTTATTTATATCAATCGTGTTTTAGTAAACAGCTAAAGATAGAAAAACGATCGTTTTTACGAAATATTTTTTTTTTACAGCAGACGACAGTTTATATTGTTTAGTACTCAATCCGTTCAGATAAAATAATTTCCTTAAAATATTTAATTATATCCAAAGATCAAGACTATGCTTAATGAGTATTGAAATTTTTCTTATTAATTTCTTCTTGTAGAAAATATTATTGTGATTCTTTTTTACTTTCATTTAAATGTTGAAGCTGTCTTATTCAATTTCATTAATTAATTCACCGTTTTGAGCTCATTGTAAATCAAATCAAATCTGAGAACTGATTAGTACATTGTGTTCTTTGCGCGACTGTACAATAGAAATCTCAAGAAGCCTAAAAACTGCGTCATAAAGTAACATTTAAATATTTGACTTTTATTACGAAAGCAAATACTTGATTCTAACAAGATTTCAATGGACTTAAATTTTTATAATGTCAATAAAATCTCACTCGTGTTGTTGTTGAATATAATGTTCATTAGCGTTATTATTATTATTATTTGTATTTAATAGTTCATGTTCATTAACAATAATATGACTTGAATTGGATGTATTCAATGATTCATCATCATCATCATCATCTTCTTCTTCGCCATCAGAAGGTTCTTCATGCCCTTCAAAAGCAGCCATAATCAATTCAACAATCTGTTGTATCAAAAGAAAAAGAAAAGCTTATTTCTACATAAAACTTTTAATTAACAAACTTCATTTTGATTTGTTTGTTCATGAACAATATCTTCATGATCTTCTTCATCAAAATCATTTTCATTAAGACCGATTGAATCAGGTAAAAACATACTAACACCCGAATTGAATTCCATATTAAAGTCTATTTTTTTTTATGATTCAACTACTAGCACCATCGAATTTTTTCTTTTTCCTTTCTTAACCGCAATTCTATTCATTAAATTTTCTTGTCTGACCTTGTTACTATAGTTACCGTCAATGGTGCGAAAAGAGAACATTTATTTTTATTTTAAGAAAATTTATAAAAGTTATTTATTTAATAAATAAAATACTATACGATTTTATACTAGAAAAAATACGACCTCTATGCATTTGATATAAGGCGTCGCTGTGTAACGTGTTCATTTTGTTCCAATGAACATAAATTATTATTCACTATTAAGCTTATGGTGATTTTTGTTTCACAAGAAAATGATTATTGTATTAAAATTCGGTAGTAAAATGCTTTCATTTCAAGAAGAAAACACCATAAAATTATCTTTTATTAAACAAAAGATTTGAACATATTTGTAGAAATTCTATCTCTCTCTGTATGTGAACAGATGAAGGATCAATGTTTTAGCTATCAAACAAGAAATTAAGCATACTCGTAGTTGTCAAAATAAAAATACTGAAACAAACCTCAATTAATTTGATGCATCTGCAAAAGATGAACTGGCTATTCCAGATCAAGTTAAGCAAGAAATTAAAGTTGCTTATATTGAATTTGTAGTACTTGACTGTCGACCATTCAGAACAATTAATGATATTGGTTTTAAAAATCTTGCACAAAAAACAAATGTTTATGTTGATCGATACTTACTTATAGGGAGATGTGGATCCATGCTTTTATGGAGCAGATCCAGACCTGCAGCTGCCTATCTGAAAATGGGAAACTGAGAATCATTTAATAAAATAAGACCAACTCATTCTTAAAATTTTTCCATAATAACTTTTTTGATAATATTTGAATAGTTGAAATCAAATAGGAGCGACTTATGATGAACTTGAATAAATTATGAATTCGATTGATTGAGATAAATCAAACTAAATTGCTAGGATATTCATGAATCGAAAAAAATTATTTAGGATATTTATAATCAATCGACATGCAGGAAATTTACGTATATAACATTGTATTATGCCATTCGAATTCAACTAAATGAAAACAGTCAGTTTAGACCATTGTTTGTTCAACATTTACAAATAGTTCTAAAAGATGAAAGGTTAATGAAATTTATCATCTGATTACATATAATATATTTGAACTACGCTGGAACATGATAATAGTTTCGAAGATTCAGATGTCCTCTACCTGTTCAATGAGTATTGAAATAACTATCGGAATTAATAAAAACTGAGAAGTTGCTATTGGTTGACCAATTAAAAAAAAGTTTACTGGTACAAATCTCATATTTTGTATCTCCACAAATTGTCTATTCTTGACATAAACTAAGAAGAATGAATTAACACTACGGCTCATACCTTGATACAACTAATGTCCGCGCCAGAATAAAAGAGGGGTGAGTGTAAGCTCAATAACTCGACAACCGCAATACCTAGCTACCTGCGGTTTTCACCAATCGAAAGAGGAGGAGCGGGCACGTCTTTTTNTAGCAGAGAAGTACAACAAGTTCTATTGTCGCAAGTATTCTCCAAGAAAAATAGCTGAAAGACTGATTGTAGCGAGAGAGATTGTCAATGAGAAAATAGATCTATGAAAATATTTGTTTTTGATGTAACTTGTCTTTGATTAAGGAAGTAGACGTTTCTGATAGTGTCATGTATATAAATATTTGTGAACTATCTATTGTATCAACGTTCATATTCTATAGATCTTCGCGATTATTATCGTCGATTACATAATCGAAAATGGTCTGTTCATCGACTTCTCTTGTGAGTACTTTGCTGATTGTCTTGCGTATAATTCTTTTAGGTGATTTATGTTCATGATTAAGTTCGAGTTGCATTCGTTTGATTATTTTCGAGCGAGTATCTACTATCCAAGAAGCATTTCATTTCTTATTTCCGGCAGCTCTATTCAAACAGATACCATTCCGACCATCGATGTACGCTATGTGCTGTTCGTGGTCGATCTTGATCAGTTCACATTGGATTTCAAACAGGCCACCGATCATTTTAACAGACCATTTTTGTCCTTCGTAAAAAATAATATCCGGTATCATCAAACTTTCTGGTGATGGAAACAACATCCATGTAAAGCCAAATGGATGATCTTGAGATCGTAAATCACCAGATAATTCTTGTTCTTCTAGACGATCAAAATAAGGTCGTTTCAATAGTCGATTCAATTTAGTCGTATTTTTCAGTTCTATTGTTACTTTCAAATTGATGATGCGAATCTTAGTCTTGTTGATGGCAACAATCTTTTCGACATTTTCCGTTTCTTGTCGTTCGATAATCTGTCCCGTGTCTGGAACATGATGTTCGATCTCGATCGTATGATAGAATAATCTTTGATGAAGTGGTGATCGAAATTTTAAATCAACAGGCATTTTCATTCCATTTTGAATAATTCCAAAGAGAAAATACTATTGTAAAGGACCGTCGAGCATCTTTGTTATTGCTTAAGTATGTCGAAGAAGCGAAACCCAATACTTCTACGGATTATTTTTTCTAAGCGATTATGAAAGAGAATCGAATTCAAGTGTTTGCTTTTTCTTATTATTCTTCTATAGAGAATTTATGTTTGCGGTAATGCATGGAAACACAATAATGTGATAGAAGCCATAATCGTTTCGAAACTTTACGAAATTGAGTCGCATGTTGAACGCATTCTTCTTGTTATTTTTATCTATAAGAAAACAAATGAGAGTAGACAAATCTCCATCAACCAACGACTATCTTTGAAGAAGAAATGTTTATGGTAGAAGTATCGCTAAGAAATAATTAAAATGTGAAGGTTAAAGTTCCTCACTTACGCTACTTTGTAACTGGAATTTCAAAGCATTACAGTAGCAGTTTCGAACTTCAGAAGACTCTTTACTAGTTAGTGAACTTTGTTGTATTTTCTCGTACAAAGATAATATCACTCAAATTTCTTCATTGATATTGCTGATAAGAAAAATAGAATATTACATCGATCATAAGAGTCTTTTGTATTTTACGCATTTTTCTCTTTTCATGAAAGTGTAAGTCACGGCTTTAATTTTTCTATGATCAAATGCTGAAAACTTGTTCTTTGTTCACTATGCAATTTTATCACGCTGTCTTCAACTATCTTCCCATCCCCATACTCTACTTGAATGAAAATCTTTCGATATATATTGAAAGACTTTCATTGGAAAAATCCAGTGCATCGGATGGCTTGCTTAGTTTTTAATCATACAGCTCGCTAATTATATAGATATTGACGATATCAACATGATTCTCTTGACACTTATTGGCAAATATAGATGATGGGGGAGTAAATAGTATACATTCATGTTCAATGCTCAATGATAATAATTAAGAACTTTCTTATAATTTCTCTTGTTTTCATAAATACATACAATATAACTTAGACATGTACTAATTTTCGGATGTTGTTTGGACAGAAGTTGGTGTGAATGTCAGTGGGTAGAATGTCTTCTTACTCACACCCTCATTATATACTTGGAAAATTATACAATAAAACAGAATAATCAAATAAATTATATGAAAATTTGCACGATGAAATTGATCAATATACACAAAGAAAATTTTTATTTGACGCTCGATGATGTTACACATCAATTCATTTGTTAAAACTTCCTAAATTTCAACTAGATCAATTTTAATCTTTTTAAACCAATCGACAAACAGGAAAACAGTTATGTATGTTAATTCTTGTGTTCCTATCCATTGACCAATTTTACATCTTATTATATTTAAAAGAAAATCATATTATACTAAGAATTTATATTAATCAAGTTCTTTAACTAACATACTGATCAAAATAGTTATAAAATAAAATAGTACATGAATAACTCTGAACATATCAATCTGTATATGATAAGAATATTCTTGGTAAAAATTGTATTTGATTCTATGACCGAAATAATTAATATAAAAACGTAATGTAATCCTGTCATGTTTTCTTTTGTGTTTATCATCTTTGACTATTGAATGAAATAATACCTTTTGTTAATAATTTAATGAAGATGAAGGGTTTTAACTTCTTTTGTTCACATTTACATTGACACACTTTATATGTACAAACCAATAAATAAACAAAATCAGATGCATTATGATATTATCATATAATAGTATAAAATACATATTCAAAAAATGCTAATTTTCATCTGATTTAACTATTGCTCTGAATACTTGTTAATTTGTAAAAATTGAGCCTTCAGATTTTTTCTACTGAACTGGCAAATAAATATCAATGTTTTGAAGATTGACTCACATTAATATAAAATGTATCACACTTTGCAACATACTGTACGGTAGATTTCGAAAACATAGTTGGAATTTTAAATCATTATCAATCATCGATCGATCTCTCAAAGTCTTCTCGAAGTTAAGAAATCATTTAGAACAAAAACCGTATGTGAAAATCTATCAGTTTACATAAATGCATGCGCAAAATAATTAATGAAGCAAAAGTTCGGGATTGAGTTTTTTTTTTTTTTGGTAAATTCTTGTTTTGAAAAATCGGTGATATCGAAAAATGTTCAAATCCACTGCTATAGAACAAGCAAAGTATTTCTTTCTTTTGGCAGAGTGAATATGATTAGTCCTTACATTATAACACTCTCGATAGACGAATAAAACAACTTTTTTAATGAAATAAAGCTTCTTATAAGTCCAAAACAAAAGTCATATATTTATATATATATATATTTGTACTACAGTAGATGTTTTGCTCTTTCTAACAACAAAAATAGATTAAGTTGCTGCAATATTGTATTTCAGCACTATATTAAAAACAAAATTGCCTCAGATCTCTAGCTCTATCCGTTAATAAAGTAAATAAATGTCTGGTAGATAGATTACGGCGCATTCGACTACGACACATAAATAAAGTACATTTTATCCTTGATTAAAACTTTATAAAATGATTTGTAACTTGAAACAACTTGAAAATTTTTCTGCAATAATTCATCTTGTTGAGATTCATTTTATGTCAGTTTCTATAAATGTTATTGTCATATTTTGTGATTTGATCACAGTACAAAATTACATACGAAATATTGAATTCTCTTGGATATACTAGCACAAATAAATTATAAATCACGAGAACGATTCAATAGAATAGAGAAAAAAAATGAAGAAATGCATAAGAACAACCGAAAAGTATCAGAAACGATTACCTATATATATATCGTGACAATGATACATACCAAGAAAAAGCAAACAATCAAGCTAACCGAAGGAAAATAAATGACAACATGAAAATTTCAAGTGTACACGTACATTTTTTCTTTGCTGATGCATCAATAACTTTTTTCATTACTTGAGTATGTTGTTTCATATGAAGATGTGCAATTTGACTGGTAAAAATATTAACGGCATGATATACCCACACCAAACGACTCATAGACATTTGGCCTTCAGTTGGTTTGAATTGCAAATAAACTCCACCATAGATGCATATGCTGCTACTTGTTTCACTCAAAAAATAGGATTGATATCCGATTTCAAGTACTATCAACATGTTCAAGTATCAGGAATAACGTCGATATATGAAACAAACTATCCAAAGCCAGAAGTGAATTTACTTAGTGGTTCTTATTTGTCTCAATTCATCTGTCAATGAATTCTTAAGTACTCAATAAGATGTATAAAGGTATGATCATGAAGAGTGAGTCTGTCGGCAATAAATGTTGTCAATTATTATGTAGCATCTTATCTCTGATTAAGGTATAATTGAGCACAGGATTGTGCACTAGTTGATTTTAACTGGTACACTTGTTTGCAAATATCTCGAACCGAAGTATAAACATTTTGACAATCAACTTTTTTCAATTTAGAATAAATCATTGCAAGCTATGACTCCCCATGAAGCTTATGAATAATCGCTCGATCATCTCTATCCAGTTAGCTTAAGCTCAATTGAACATGGATTGACTGGTTCTTTCAAATATTCATATCGATCTCGACTAGAGACATAGTGAATGCTAAGCTTGAGTGATTTTTTAAGAAGATGTTGTTAAGAATTAGTACTTCTCTCATCGTTATGGTCGATAAAGGTTTCGACAAATTAAATTTCAGCCAAACAATTCTCTTTATTATCATTTGTTTCCTTATCGTCATCTCGAATAAGTATATACTTGCGTACATTCAATAGAACATCAGCAACACGAAAGTGAATCTATTTACTGATGATGTTCTCTTCATAGACAACTTCGTCTGCATTGATTTAAGACCGGTGCGCTCAATCTAAGCTTCAATTTCTCTTGCAACCATAAAAATATATTTTAATTTGTCTTTTAAACGATTGACCGAATGTTGAACGAAACTTTTTGAGATAGGCCGCATCTCTAATGGGTAACTTTTCTTAATCAGTACTAAACTTCTAATTACCTAAATATATTTCTTATATGTTTTTCTTGATGTTCAATAGAGCTTGCACAAGACGACAAGGACATTTTTTACTACAAAAGCAGCAGAAACCTAAGTGTGACAAAATATTCTCAGAGATTCGTATGTCATAGCCATCAATATCTAAAACATTTGCATAGTGAAGAAGATATTATATTATGTATGAAAATAAAGTAGAAAAAATTTTGACAAATAATCAGATAATTAAAACTGAAAAATGATTTTCGTTGGTTTTCTATATGAGCATTAAAATGTACTTTAATAACTATCATGATTTGATTTCTCAATCTGAATCTTGTCGAATAACAGAGAGTGTCAGTGCAGCTTTAAATTTCGATGAAGAAAAGCTCTACCCACACCCACATCCTAGAATTTTTTTTTATTGTATTTCAAGTAAATAAAAAATGCTACCAGAACTAAAAACCAAGTGAGACACCTTGAAACTGAATCACAAAAATATTCACTCGTTTAGAGTCCATCTGAGAATACATTTCATTGTTTTGTTGTTGAATTTCGACGGGTAAAACAATAAATGTTTGTTTTCACAGTCATAATTGAAAAGAATGTCACATATATGACGAAATAAAAAGCTGTAAATCCACCCGAAAAGAAATAGAGATGCAGATGGCAATACGTTGACGATTGTGATAAATCATTTCTTTGAATAGTTTCTATCGTACTTCCTATCTATGCTGTGGCCTAAAACAGAAGTAATGCAACAACAATTATTTCATAAAGAAAACTTTTATTATCAGGAAAAAAATTGCTCTTTTTTATCATTCTTTCAAGCAAAATCAATATCATTTACTTATTGCAGTTCGATACAAGTGAAAAAAGATCTTATTAATCTCATAAAGACTAATACGATGTCTGGAAATCTGAAAAATAAAACTCAAGAGAAAACAGTGACATTTCCATATGACAAGTCGAATTGTCATGCGAAAAATTCTTCTGCATTTTTGTCGTGTCTAGATCTTTTTGCCGGATTGTGCAATGATAAAAAGTTATATGCGGAGAAACGCGTTATGTATTCATTAACGATGCGTACCAATATTACGATAAACTAATGTACTAGTGCTAATGGAAGAGTAGTACCATAGAGCAGAGGAATTGCAAATCTCGAATATTGTCGACCTTTACAACAGGTGCCATAGTTTCGAATGAACTGATACCATATAGAATAGAAATAGAAATAATGTATATGCTTAAGAACGAACTACTACGTACAACTGAAAACAACTATTTGAGCTCATGTTGCACCCATAGTCACATCTTGGAGAGACCAACAAAAGCCTAAAACAGTTCGTGCCCATGGGCATTTGGCACCGAGTGATGACCAGTTAACTCAATTTTCGATTCATTTTTAAATACTTCTCAAAAAATTAAACAATGTATAGTTTCGATTCATACCAGTGTCCATAAATATATGTATTGACCTTTAGATTATCTTCAAAGTTTTCGCCGAGTTATTGAATTTTCAAGTGAAATTCATTTTTCTGACATGTCTTTATCAAAGTCAAAGAGAAATTTTTAGAAAATTAATCATTTCGACTGAAATATTCAGAATATTATCAGAGTCATCCTACTTGTAAACTGGTCATAACTAGATTCTAAAGATCCATGGGAACGAACCCTTTTAGGCTTTTGGTAGTTTCATTGAGACATTCTTCTGCGTCCAATGTGAGCTCAGACGATGGTTTTTTCACTTGATGTAGTTCTCTTGTCAGCATAGTGAAGAATGTCATAAAAATATTGCTCTATATTGACTTTGCATTAAAATCCTAGGTGTCAGTAATTCCCTGCATCCGTATGCACTGTTTATATTCTGTAGCTATTAACATATATCCAAAATTCATAAATGTTTTTCAGGAAACATCTATTCGAACTAAAATATTCGTTTTAATCGTAAAAAAATGCTATTTGATCATAATCGCACAAACCGTAACGCATTGCACAATCATTGATGATTCATATTAGTGGTATTTACGACTTATAACCAAACCGTAAGAAGAATTAATGTCCGAAAACCTGAAGCAATAAGCCAAACATAGATAGCTGGTGTATTAGAACAACTCTGAAGGTAGATAAAAGCAAAACATAGCTTAAGAATTGCCTCTGGTGTTCAAGTGACTAACACACGAATCAAAAGCCAACGTTGAGTAAATATTTCTACCAAATTAAACAATTCTTTGCAATCAGATTCACCGCGTGCTGCAGACATTTTGTTATTTTTTTTGATTAATTTTTCATCAAAATTATGATGCTAGTGAAAAATATCTTTTTTTTAATGCTCACTGATGCTCTACTTCTGGCCACATCACGTTAGTAAGCCATCAAATTAGTAAAAGAAAATTGTTTTGATTGCAAGTGTTTTATGAATCACGAGAAACATGTTATTGCTGCTGGTGGGGTGGGATACAGGTGTGGGTATGGGTGTGTGTTTATTGAATTGCTACCCACACCGAGACTCCACACTTCCAAACCCACGCGCTCACACACTCACACTCACACCCACACCCATACCCACACCCATCCACACACGTACCCTCTCCCCAAACTCATACCCGCACCTCACCCACATCCACATCCTGCAAATATAATTGATTTATATTGATCCAATCTTGATGATGTGAGCATATAAAACTTAATAAAACAGAAAGAATTCGAAGCTCTTGAAGTGATCAATTGCATAGCCGCTCGATGTCCTTCGAACAAAATTAGAAATATTGTAGATATAGCACTCATACAAATGCTGGATAGATATGCAAATTTCGATTGAAAAACAATATAATTCTCTTCATCTTATTCGATTCGATAGACATTTGTTAGTTACAACTAGCTCATATTTTGAAATGCTTGTCGAGAGAAATCAACAATTCAATGACTTGTCCAGACATACCTCTGGCTCATCCCAAAAATCATTTACTGATCGATGCAACAAAACGGATCAGTCAAGGCAAAGAAATCGGTAACAAAACAAAATTTGTTCGCTGTTGAGTCGAAGGACACTAAATTTTTTGCTTGTGTTTTTTTTTTCGTGAAAATGAAGTCGCTAGCATTTATTATTGGAATAGTTGCATTAGTATTTTATCTTTTTTAGTAAAAGAGATCACCTTCATTCACCATGGTGTTGTTCATCGTGCTCTCTATGGTTTATTATCGGTTTTTTATTGGGTGCAGTTGTATTAGCTACAATACTTGCACTCTGGCTTACATCCAATCCAGCAGAAATTAATGCTACGGACGGAACTGCATCAATTATTGTATCAACGTTAAGTCAGTTTTAATTTTTAACTTTGACATAACATTATTTAATTAAAAGAATGCTAAGTGCCAGAGCTGCTGTCTTCAGTCACCACATTGTTAGAAAGCTGTTTTTGCTCCAGAAAAAATGGATCTTCTGAAGATTTTCAGAAGGCAATCTTTTGTAGTTTAGGTAGTTCCTAGTAAAAATTTCAGGTCAAACTATTGAGTTAGTTCTCGTTATCTGGGCGTCAAGATTACAAAAGAAGGAGTCCTTATGACAAAGATTTATCACTTTAATCGAATACTACACATTTTAGGTTGATGTATAAATATATCCAAGACGTGCTACTACAAATTAATGTAGTTCTATATTATAAAAATTTGTTTGTAGGCTTCTGGTAATATTTTCGTGACACGAAAGTTCCGCGCGCAACATTTCCACATTGACACTTCTGTGCAAAATGATTTTTTTTATCTGTTTATGTGAGGTATGGGTGCTCGTGTTAGTGCCAATGTTGGGTGCCAGTATGAATATGAGGTGGATACACACGCATCTCCTCTCGTACTTCATAAACCGTTGTTCGTGAAGTTTGGAAACGCTATTAGTTTTGCGTGAAAAAAACAAAAAGTCAATTTGCGCGGAAATGTCGGCAAATCATTTTTTTTTCTTTAAAAGACAAATGCAACAGGTTAAAGCTACTACTATGGGAAAAACTCATATTTGACGATAAGTAAATAGAAAACGAAAAATTCGATCCTGTTAAGCTGTAGAGTGCATTGCTTTCCTTCGATTAAAAATTTTTTCAAGCGAGCGCTATGGAACGTAAACCAGCCGGAGTAGGGTATAAGTGCGCCATCTTTTCAGACACATGTACATCAACATCAACGACTACTTACTGCAAATGACAGATACTCTCATGATAACCAGCTCAAGCTGAGGTGAAACTAGATTTGGTTGGCATTTAAGTCGAGAACTTCGAACAAACTTTCACTTGTTAATCGGTACTTGTTCTTAAGCCTTAATATTTTTGTTTTAGCGACAACATCCGCAACAAGCTCCACTTCAGGTATTCGACTAAGTATAATCAGCACTAATAATCATTTTTACTCTGATATGACAATTCCGTGGACGACGTTTCGCTACAGACTGTTCCCGAGCAAAATGATTTTTCTGTTTATGTGATGTGTTAGTGCCACATGTGGCTGCAAACATTGGCTCATATGCACGTCTCTTCACACACACCTCACACTGTTCTTCATGAAATTTGGAAAAGCTATTCTTTTGTTATGAAACAAAACCAAAAGTTCATTTGCACGGAAGTGTCAAATGCGGAACTGTCGATGAGGAATTGTTGGCAGGGAAAAGTCGCGTGCGGAACTGTCAGGGAACCGATCTTCACTTCTTTCCATTTAGTCACGATGACGACGACGACCACCACCAGCACTACAAGTACCACCACTACTACGGCCACAACCACCACAACCAAGACCACGTCGACCACCACCTCGATCACCACGACGGCTACAACTACAAGCACAAGCACGACCACTACGACAGCGACAACTACTACAACGCCCTTTAATTCATGTCTGCTATTCTATAATTTAATATTAAGAGTTCAACGTATGAGATTTTATTTTAGGTACGAATCTTCGTTGGAATCAAACAGGTGAACGTGTCGCGGGAAGTACTAGTTATGGGAAAAATCCCAATCAGCTCAACGCTCCAGCTGGTTTGTATATTGACGCTAATGACACTCTGTTCATTTCGGATAGTAACAATAATCGTGTGCAAAGTTGGACTTTGGGTATGGGAAGTGGTGCGACAATAGCTGGCGATAGTAGTGGTTCATCAGGTTCCAGTTCGACTGTGCTAGACAATCCTGTAGGTTTAACTTTTGACAAAAACGGATTCATGTATGTAGCTGATAGTCAAAATAATCGAGTACAGCGCTTCCCTCGTAATTCTCTAACCGGTACAACGGTTGCTGGGCAAGCAGGTACGAGTTCAACAGCACTAAACTCGCTCAGAAGACCATTCGGAATAGATGTTGATGACGATTTGAATGTTTACGTCGCTGATAGTGATAATCAACGAGTAGTGAAATGGGTTCCGAATGCAACAAGTGGCATTCTTCTCATTGATAGAAACATAATTGGCAAACCTTATGGAATTCTCCTGGCACCTAATTCAACAAATCAAGTTTATTTAAGTGATGAATCTCGAAATAGTGTCTATCTGTGGACATTTAGTGCATCAAACCCAGACTTAACTTTAAGATCCGTCAATGATAGTATTGGTACTCTTGGTAGGCCTAGAGGCATGATTTATGATTCGTATAACAATTTGTACGTTGCCGATGCTGGTCGTTCTCTCATCGTAAGATATTGTGTCAACTCAACAATTGGTGACATTGTTGTTGGCGGCAGTGGTAGCACACCTGTGCTCAACACACCATCAGCTATAGCATTTGACTCGAATTTTAATTTGTATGTGGCTGATGAGAACACCAATCAAGTTGTAAAATATGCTCGAATATAAACTGAATTTATGTTTTTTTCTCCTTCGATTCCTAATAGCATAAGAACACAATTTGAACATTTTTATATATTTTTCACTTTATTTCACATTATTTTCATAATCGAAATAGACATTTATCATGTTTGCGAGCATATTAATTGATTTTTTTTATAAACGAATAATCCATATTTTTCATACTATTCGATCAGTTGCAAAAACCAAGCATAAAACTTTTATAATAGATACTAATAGCTCTTTCATTGGCGCATCTGCAAACACTTGAAGAGAGATCCGAGAGAAATAATATTCATCAATTCTAAAATACAGAACAGCTAAACTACTTCGTTTAGTAGAAAAAAAAACACTATGTTTCTACAACCTGTGATATGTATGGATTGAGGTCAGTCAGAAATGATCATTGATTCTGACGATTATCGTTTCGAATTTTTGTGGAATTCACACATATTTTCGAAGAAAATAGTGAGTGTAAGTTTTAAGGTCAGGCTTTTGGGGCTCCCCCTCCCCATTACAGACCTTAGCAATCAAGAAAAACAGACGTCAGATTCTCTGGTTTTTTTTCAAAATTGATCAAGTTATAATTTTGAAAAATAATGAATATCATTATTTGTGAGTTGATTAATATATATGATGGTGGGTGTGGGTGTGGTTATAGGTTTCAATAAATCATGTACACTCACATCCACACCCATACATCCTACCAAAGCTCCATCCAAGCAAATAAGTCTGCATGGTGTGTGTGTCTTTTTTCTTTGTGATTGAAGTTTGATCTTATAAATTGAATGTATTGCTAGCAAACAGATGCAGTTGAGTTAATTTTCAAGAATGAATATTGAAGATACTTATGAATAATCATAACTATTACAATTTGCAAAGGTCATGAAGATAAAGTTCCATGATTATGATTATTTGCTGTTCGTCCTTTTATAAATCCATTTAATTTAGTTGAGGCTGAAAGTTCTTTTTTCTCCTGCAGATATACTAGCATTGAATGTTGGTCTTCTCTTGATCATAATACTTTGAGTGACATTTTTACCTGTAAGATTCAGTCAGAACGTAGTGGAAGAACAATCAAGTTTTTTGTCTTCACTGTTAATCTTTCTATCTATTTATTCTTCTATATATGAGCACGGTTCAATTTGTAAATGCTTAATCTAAAGTGAAACATTTTAATATAAACGGGCACCTGTAAAAACTACGAACACCGCCAAATCTGTATGAAAAGATACAGTACCGAACAAATATAACACAGACAAACGTTCTGGGCTATCTCTTTTGTTTTCAATTGAAATATAGCCTTTCTTTTGCATATGAATACCTATGGCTACAAATTTTTATGCAAAATTTGTTAGATATAATTTCGATAGTTCTTTTTATATTTTCATAGTAGAACATGTGCCGTGAAATTCTTTACAAAAATTGAGTAGAATGTTTTGCTTCCAAAAATATAAAAATGGAAAGCTGTACGACAAATAATGAAATTCCGAAGACGCCGCTAGCTTTGTCATACACTTTTTAGCATGCCTTAACTGTTTCTAAACACTCACAAAAGCATTAGAATGTATATAAATAAGTCAACAAATTTTTTGAATGTCTTCTAATTGAATATATCAGTTCGGATATAACAAAACAAGTTCGAATTCAAAATACACTGTTTTGGAAAAGATATAGGTATTTTTTCCAGTGATGTCATGCTGACATTCAAAAGCAATGATTTTAGTGAAAAGACATAAAAAGAAAAGAATTCTCTTTCAGTTGATTGTAGCGTAATTTGTTATTTATAATTAGCAGAAAGTAGAACATTTCAATAGTTACAAATCGCATAGTTAGATTTTCATTTGTTAACATACAGAAAAATACAAATAATAAAAACTGTATTTTTTTGGTTAGAACGTTCGTGCTGCTTTCCATCTTGATATTTTGTAATAAGTAAAAAATGCGAAACGCACGAACATCCTTGATTGCCTTGTGTTAATTGTAAAAAAACGATAGCTACCTTGATATTGAACTGTAAAAGATCTTATGCACGTAAAAATCAAAATGACCATGGATATCTTTCGAGTTTTCGCATAATATTCGTTTTGAACTCGATTTCTTTTGGCAACTTTGACGGTGAAGGTGGATGTTCGTAGTTTCGATAGGTATCCACTGTAAGTCTCTCTACAATGTGATCATCTCATTATCCCGAGCATTTTAAACTTCTTGTCGAGCAATTTTTACTCAAAATCAACCACTTTTTACAGATCACTTTATTAAATTGAACCATACCTACCTTTTTATGACTTCCATAAACTAGAAGAACTTTGCTAAAGTAAACATTTTCTTTTGTTCTACTCTTAGTCTTACATATTCTCATTCACACGTGAGAATAACACTTCTGTATAATGAAAACTTGAAAATTCTTATTTATGTTCCCATTTGACAAGTTTTATTACAATCATCTAAATTAATTTCAAAGTCATGTTGGATTTTCTATGAAGATTAATACTTATTTCTATTTTCTTATTGTCATGAGAAAAAAACAGACAGGCCAATTTGAAGCATTGGTTAAGGCGTGGGTAAGTGAAGAGAAAACTCTCACACATTTACCCTCATGATATTTATTGAGGAGTATAAATATTTTTCGTGAGAAAATAAATTTTCAAAACCAAAAAAGTCATGAAAAAAAAAATTAAATATTGCCTCCTAAAGATAAATAATTTCACACCAGTTTTCTTTGGTCTGGTTTGGAATAATCTTCGAGTATATCTGCTTTTAATCATCCCGATAATCTTCAAATTACATTAACAATCTTTGCATTTTTTTCCTTTCATTCAACGAAGTACATCAACAATTAATAATAGACGAGACAATCTAATGATTCCGAAATAGATGCATACTTTGATTAAATTAGATTTGTTGTCAGAAACATCACAGAACACTGAGTTTACACTCTCTTATTTGTACAAGCATGGATAACGAATGCCAATCTACCAGATAGAACTGGTGAGACTATTTAACTTTTATACAATAAGATAGAAACTTATACCTGTGCTTGTTTGTGCCGTATGACTTTGCTTTATCCATGTATGAATTCAATATATATCACTTCCGCAAAAATAACTTCATGTTGACTATTTATTGAATTAGTCATTTGGCAAAAACCAAAAACGTATACGATGAGAAATTATGTTACGCTTCAAGGCAACGTAATATATTCGACCTAAATGAAAAAAAAAATTATCGATTGCTTCAAGCTGCTTGAAACAATGGCGAAGTAATTGAAAATTTCACATGGTAGACGAAGAGAAAAAAGTTCGATCGAAAGAAATATTGATTTTTTTTTCTCAATGATGTATTTAACGACACATCTGTATAGATTAAAGACAAAAAAATATAAGCAATACTTCCGATTCAAACAACTTTCTTGAAGGCACGAAGATTTTCTTTTTCTTTTCACATAAATTCTAAAGAAGTTTGTAAATTTTTTTATATAATTAAAAAGCAATTGAATTTGCTGCTTGTTAAAAGCACTGTTTCTCATAAGAACAATAAGCTACATAAATGTTCCTATTAAGAACAAGCACGTTTTATTTATATATTTGATGTTTTGAACCTTAATCAGTTGTAAAATTCTGTAACTCGATATGAATATTTCTTGGATAATAAGGAACATTTTTTTTATCAATGTTCAATTTTAGATAGAAGAAAAAATCTTTCCTTTTGTATGATTAATACATAGTTTATATCCTTATTAAAAACATTTTTTGCTAATTGTGCAAAATAGAAGTAGTGTCAATAAGGACAACTTTATTTAATGTCAAACTACCCCTAAATGCTTAATTTATTTTTAACATTATTGAATGATTTTTACATCATTCGATTCAGCAAATATTTTTCTACTTCATTATATTAACAAAATTTTATAAGTTTCTTTAAAATTTATTTGACCAAAAAAATTCCTTGTCTTCGAGAAAGTTGTTTGTACTCTAGATATTACCTGTATTCGTGTTGTCTTGAATCTATTCAGATGTATCGTTGAAAAAAAATAAACAAATCAATACTTCTGTTATTATGAGATACACAATTTTTCTTTCGATCGAGCTTTTTTTACCTCCGTCTACCATGTGCGATTTTCGTTTTCTTCGCCATTGTTTCAAGCAGTTTAAAGCAATTGATATTATTTTCGATTCGGGTCGAATACGTCGCGTTGTACTAAAATGTAATATCATTTGCCATCGTTTTACTATTATACGCGTCTGGGTCTTGTACAACTAATCACATCAATAAATAATCGACGAAAACTTGCTTTAGCACAAGCAATATACATTGAATTCAAAAATGGCGAAAGTGTGTGGTACTGTTGGCTATTGGATAGGTCGGGTGATTTTGTATTGTGGATTGATCACTGTATTTGTTTTTTTCATTGCTGGCATCATTTTGGGCTCCATTGCAGCTTCTAGTTACATAAAAGAACATCGAAGACGTGAGCTTTATATAAATGCAAACTGTCTTTTGTTGAATTATATATTTATCACCCATGAATGTAAAATTTGTGGTGAATATTCATGTGATACTTATAAATGTTTTGACGAACAATTCTTCGTGTCATATGTTATTTTCAATGAAACGCTTGTTAATAATAGTCTTGTAAGGTATAACCAAGTCACACCACACAAACAAACACAGGTATACGATTCTATCGTTGCATTTAAAAGATGAATAATCTAACCAGTTCTGTTTAATAGATTGGTATTGACTATCCATGCTTCTACCAACGAGAGAGTGTGACATCAGTTATCTGGGATGTTCCTGATGGAAAATATAATTTAATCAAACTAGGCGTGTGTTTTGGAATCATCGGATTATCTCTTATGTTACTAATTATTGGTGTACTTTGTTGGAAAGCAGAAAACTCATATGAAAACTCTGATATCCTTGAAAATTTACCGAAATGATCAAAATCATTTATATATATGCATACTCGAAGATAAACTAAGAAGATTATTCCAAGCCATATTACATAAAAGTTTGGCGAAGTTATTTCTATTTAAAACACACTATTTTTTATCGTCTCGAATGATTTTATTACTCAGAATTTTATGTACTCACAAAGAATTTTCATAATCCTAAATAAATATTATGATAGTGAGTAAATGATGGTCTTCTCATCATCTACCTATTGTTAGCATACATTTCACCAGTTATTTCCAATTATATTTCGCAACATCCTTCGAAAAATTCATAATTTAAAAGCGAATGAATGTGAATGAAGAGCAGATTCACACTCTCGCTTTCTTTAGAAACTAGTTTTTGCTTGAATAAAACAAAGTCGAATATCATAAAAGAAAACCTACACGAAACTTATAGACTTAGTGACGAGATCAATGATTGTTATATTGTGTTAATCGACCTCAGCGGTGCTCAATCGATCGTGTTTGAACATCTTGACTCGAATCGATATCAATATGGAATCATCTATTCTCGAGCTTTTCAGTCGAGAATGAACTCTGCTTTATATGATGGGAAGTATTCCACTACGATCGAAAGTGATTTCACAGTGATGAATCATTTCACTTTCATACTAAACAATACATATTTAGGTGGTGTGTGTGTTCCAACAATACTTTCGTGATCATAAAATGTGATGCAAATATATTGTTCAATGAAGAATATGTCTAAATTGAATCGATCTTGAATCTGAATCAAGAGTATGATGGGATATGTTGTTTTAGATCCTTGAAGACTAATATTTGAAAAAAAACTTTTACGAATAAGAATTTTGTGCCAGGTGAAAAAGTCTTCTGGATCCTTGGAATTGATTTTTAGGGTTTTTTCTGCTCGTTGAATGTTTTTGTCAATTTGAATGTTAGTGACATGTTGAATCAATACGAGAACATTTTGTAGCTGTTGAAGTTCTCTAAAACAAGGACTATGAATTAATAATTAAAATGAACACTCATTACAGTTATACCGAAGTTCTATAATTACTTTTTCTTTCAACGATTCAGATCAATTGGAATAGCAGTCACTCATCAGAGGAATGCAGTCATATTGCAAAAATACTACGAATGACATAGCTAATAATTTCTTCTTTAAATATACTCGTACCATTTTGTTCAAAGTGATTTTTCACGTTAAGTTCGTTTTATTCTATCTTGCTATATTTTAATGCATGACTGTGAAATTATTAATAATACAGCAGATATCCGACTATCTTTCTGTTTCTTCTTATATGTGATTTACGTTAGAGAAAAGTTTTTGTCATTTGACAGCGCCTTAATGAACGAAGATTTTAGTTTCATTCAAAAAAAGATCATCAAATAATTTCATGATTTGAATAAAAAATCTTTTGGTTTTTCTCTTAATCCTTTGTAAAAACTCTGGGTTTTGAAATTTGACTATGTCAGTCTTGGTTTCAATACATATTAATAAAAAAGACAATTCTCTATCTACAGTTTTGATTGATTTCAATGTTGGTAGTATAAAAACGGTACACCGTTTATAATTAAAAAACCAATGACAGAATAATTATTCACGAAAAAATGAGTGTTTAATGGAAAGACTAGATGACAAAGATTGTGACTTCATCTAGCGTTTTTACAATATTTTGAATAAATTCATCATTCGAATCAATAGAAGAACTCGATGCATTTTAATTAAAGAAATAAACAGTATTCATGTAATTCAAACTGAAGAAAAATCTCCAGTATACCAATCAGTATAATGTGTGTTATATCGGTTGTTTTTGTTGAAAGTGCTGAATCATCGTGTATTATATCAGTTCGAGTGAATATTTTTGAAATTAACAGACCTAAATCATTTTCGACGCATGCTGGTAATGTCGATGCGTCTGAACTACCTGTACTAACCATAAAACACAAATCGACCGCAGTTATTAGACAAGTTTTAACTTGTTTAAAAGTTCGTAATAACGTTGTTTTAACGACAATATTTCGTTTAAACGCATTTTTTAAAGGTCTTATGTGCTTGGGTGGACGTGCGTGTGTCTCTTTTTCATCGACGTTCACGCCCACACTTCACCCTGAAAGATGCTAAAATTAACTTTTGTTTTTAATACTACGTTATTCAACTTGGACAGGATACCATAGCTTATATAACATAATATCGGCATAGAAATCGTTTTTCTTTTTTGTAATTTTTAACTAAAATTAGAATATCTCATAATATGTGCTATTTTGACCTAAATACGTGTAATCATATGTGCTGATAATAAAAATACTTCTATAATAAGCAATTTCACATTTTTATTTCAGTTATGAGTCAAAATCAATCATCTGCAATTATTTTTGTTCCGATCGAAATCTTAATAGAATTTGTTCATTAATTTTCAATAAAAATATTAATGGTAAATACGTAATGACTCAAATGCAGTAAAGTTCGAGAGCTATTTATGTTTCCATACAGTAGAATTCGAATTATTTAATTGTTTTTGATATGAATTATTAAATTTACCTGATAAGCAAACCATCATTTCTATTGAAAAGAATCTGCAACTATGTTACTCCAAATTCGTGTGTGGCACAAAAATAAGGCATGTTTCCCTTTTTTTTTTCTTGTTGTAACATGCTACCGTCACTATGTGTAGGTGATGTAATCATTCAAAGAAAAACAAGAGCGAAAAAAATAAAACAAGCTGTGTTTGAAGCATAATTTTCCAGTTGAAAACTTACCTTTATAATAGAGCCATGTGGCAGGTTTTTCTTTATTTTTATCAATGGCGACAAATATCATGTAAATATTTCTTACTATGTAATATCAAAATATAATACTTAAGAATTTATACTTTTTTTTACAATAAGCAATAAAAATGAAGAAATTAATTCCTACTCAGAAGATGGTAAGTCTGATAAGACTTTCGAAACATTGATATGTTAGATTGAAAAATGTTTAAAAGAATTTCTTAGTCTCAATAAACAGCATTAATGATTCATGATTGAAGTTCTTTTATATTTATTTATATCAGATAAGAATAAAAAGAAAAAAAAATGTTTGCTTAATTATTAAAGTAAAATTCAGTGATTGATATTCTTAGCGGCTCGCCAAAACTACAGACACACTTGAATGCACTTGCAAATCAATCAAGTTTAATAGTATGACTCAAGTTTTCTTCATTTGCTTTTCTTCAATAGAACTAGCGTCCAATCAAAGTATAGTAAGTCTTCTAATGTCACCGATATGCTAGTTTTTAATAAAAGTCTATATAAACTTTAGCAAATAAGATTAATTCTATTTGATAAATTATTTTTATTTATGTTGTTTCTTCTTTAATCTACAGAAAATTCTCATGTATTATCAACACCTTCATTGGAAAATGTACATCATTTTGCTGTTGTAAAAAACGAAGAAGATTTGGCTAATACAGTTGACCAGTTATGTTTTAACTTCGTAGATGATTGTAATAGCATACAAAATGGTGTATCCAATAGCAATGAACCAAGCTCAACAACGACAACAAATGATCAAGTTGAAAGTATGTTTAAAATAATTTTGATTTAAATTATAGACAATTCTTCTAGACTTGTAAATATAGGCAAAACACAGTTAATACAGCAAAATAATTTTTGATTTAAAAGATTTCATTTTATATCTAGATGTTAGTTTCGATTAGAAGCTTTCAAGATAAATGTTTTCTCTTAAATACTGTTAACCTCATCCTATACACTTTTCCTTCATTACGACGCTGTATTGACTTGAGTTTTTTTTAGTTTCAGTCTAGTCTATATGGTAGGATAACGTCGCTTTACTAAGATTTCTCAAATCTGACATTTCATGAAGAAAAATTAATTCTCTAATCGAATTAACCGATTCAAAGCGGCTGAATAAAAATGCAAATATAAGAGTGTTAATGAATATACATGAATGTCACTTTGAAGTAATACATATAGGATTATAGAGTATATATTTCAATCGAACTTAAACCATACCCTAACTCTCATATACCCTTACAAAACCTCGACAATCACTATCGCACATCATCACCCTTACCTTCATATCACTCACTATCATGTCTATGTACCAATGTATAGCTATAACGTTGAAAAGTATCAAAACAAGTTAATTTAGTTTTGTGAAAGTAAGTAAATCAGGATTTTATTTAATATTAAGGATTCACATAATCTTAAGATAATAAATCATCTAGATCTTTCTTGTCATTACATTAGATGTTTATCAGTCACTAATCATAAAGCATCCGGTTTCGAACGTATTTCGTTACCGTACGAAAAGCGAGTTTGAATCGTGCAACATCAAAGGCATTCCAAGATTTAAGGATTGTTTGGATAATGGATCATTGTATTTCGGTGTAAGTTGATACATTGATCATAATTAATTTTCGAGCTCTTTCTTAGCCGATTTTATCATTGGTCGACTTTCAAGTTGAATGTACAATCGTTTTCAAAGATCCGACCGGACAACTTTATTATGGTCCATTTGAATTCGTTCTTGAAGTTGGCAAAGATTTTAAATTCGAAAATCCGACTATTTTTCATTTGACAAAGGATTCGATTGATGATAATGGCTATTTTCCGTAAGTAAATATTTACATGTAAAAATCGGTGAAGTTTATTTGACTTTATTTTAGTTTGAATATAATTATTTGCAAAATAAAAAATGATATCTTTGAATCTATTGATGAACAAGGCCGTAAAATATGTCAAATTAAAAAATTTCCTTGTGGTATAATATATATATATATATATGTTTGAACCATTTGAACATACATGTAACTATTTATTCCATTGATCAGGTACAATGGTTGAAGTTAATCATCAGTTTTTATCATCATTGGGAATAAATATGAATAAAAAGAATAGAAACACAGAAATAATAACGCCTACTAAATTAGTCAAGTATCTCAATGTATACACTGGATATTTAATTGTTCGTCGTAAACATTGGGATCCTGATAAAAATAGTTTTGTACTAGAATATGAAAATATATTTCGTTCGAATGCTTTTACACCCGGTAGAAAAAGAAATCAAATTTATATATTATCTTGTATACGATATCGATTTTTCTATAGTTAATTCTAGCACTCCAGTGAATCAGTTTGATTACAGTCCAAACAAATTACAAATTATACAAGTAATATTATCAAAAAGTTCATTACTTGCAAATATCAATCAATTTTATTTACAAATATCATGTACTATAAGTTATCATGATCTTTTTTTAAATTTCATCGGTACTATTATTGTTTTTAAAAGATTCCACAATTATATCAATGTACACAATTGAAAAATAAATGTTTAGAAGCTAAACTATTTACTGGAAATCAAGAAGAACCAAACATTCATCCAAGCTATAAATTTATCTGTGAACAACAACAAGTTGATTCAATATTTATTGATGTTGGTCAATATGATATTACGTAAGTATATAAATAATCTAGACTTTAAAAAAAATTTTAATCTGATTATTTTCACGTTTAACAAATGTAGATCTTGTTTTTCTAGCTTTTCGGTCATCATTACCAAAGTTACTAATTATGCACACGGAATCGATTCTACATCAAATCGAACACAACCGACTTTATTATCTTCTCATAATTCACGTACGTTGAATTTCCTATGAAAGATTTTTGTTCATCTGTATTTGAATTATTAGCGGTTCGAACGGTTCCCTTCGATAGTTCTGTCATGAATTGTTTTCGTGTATGCTTACAACTATGTGATAAAACAGACAATAATGTTGTTCCATATCCTAGATCAACTGTTTTTTCTGAACTACAGATTGATAGCAAGTTTTTGTTTTGCTTATATTCCAGCATATATATTCAATATGAATTTTACTTCTAGCATTTACTTATGAAGAAAATATTAGTTCTTCATCACCATCAAACGATAATTTAATAGATTATTGTATGAATCAATCTTCAGTGCAAAGTAAACGATCATTCGAAAAAGAGCCTCATGAACGTACAAGGTAATTTGTAATGTTTTTTTTTTTCTTGCCAGCAGTATTTTATGTTATATTAACTGTATAGTTGATTTTTTTCCTCTATTTTAGTTCATCTTCGTCGAAAAATCAAAAAAATGCATAATTCAATTTCTATAACATTTGACTTAATCAAATTAAAAATATACTTCGCTTTTTTAAAAAGATTGGTTTAGACCGATGACCATAGGTATATAAAATGAGTATTTTATTTAAACAAGAATAAAACATAGTTAGACTGTTACAATCTGAAATTGATTGCTATATCAATGCAGAAAGGTGTGCGAGTATTGTTTTCGGCGAATGTTCATGTTTTGCGTAGGAAGATACTTTTTTTACGTATATCAATATGGTATAATGAACGGTCTTACATGATTGAAACAAGGACTATGATGCTAGATTAAATTATCTCTTGTTTGCTGTTGAAAAATCTCCTTGAATGTATTATCTATAGACCATTTTATTCAGAATTTAAATGAAAATAACTCTCGGATTCGCTTCTAACTCCTAACGACAATCAAATTTTTTTCGTTCAAATTTTACTTTCTATTTTTCGAAACGAAAGACACAATGTCTTGATAAAACATTTAGTATTGCTTATTTTTTTTCTAGTATTATAACTAAAATAAATACAATAAATGAATGAAACTTAGTATCAAAGTTCTGTTAGATAAATAACTACGCATACAAAAGGATTAATTTTAATTTGAAATCAGTTCCAACTCTGTAGTTCTTGCTAATGATTCTGATGAAAGTCCTATATAAACTTTTATTAAGCCGAAAGTTATTTCACGTTTAACATATCAAACGAAAATTTTCAGCATAGGTATTTCTCACAGGGTTCACTCATTCTTCGAAGCTTCAAACTGAATGATCATTCTAATTTCAAAATCCATTGTGAGAATTACGGAGATTTCTTAGATCCTAGTAACTAAATTCGATCCCCACTTGCCATAAACTTTATGCTGCGGTGGAAATATACAAGAACTGCTGAGTTTTGGCCAGTGAATGAATTTCATTCAAACTTATCTATCAAGAAATCTATTAAAAAGTCATCATCTCTACAGTATTTAATAAATCTAAGTGTCACAATATGTCAGGACAATTAGAACATGTGAATAATATAGTATGGTTGTAACTATGAGGATCTGTATGATTTATATTTTCGCACCCATACGTTTCAATATCATTTCTATTTACAGCGTTCATTGGGAAAAAGAAACTTCTCCACGTACAGTCTAGAAACCTAAAAAGACACAAAAAAAGAGACTTTATGTCAGTGTGTTTAGTAACTCTTCTGTATACCTTTTGTCAAGTATAATATAGAGTTTGGTCTCGTCGTCTTCGCTACTAGTGATAGAATGGTGATCATACCATTCTATCTCTTGTCCGATGGAAAAAAAACACACGTTTTGGTGAATCATAACCAAAATCAATCTTGTATGTAGGAAATCGAGACCAATTTGTAAAAGTAGGGTGTTAGTGTGAGTAGATGCCATCGTGGAGAGTGAATGGGGATTTCCATTTGTTCTTGAATCACATCCACACTCTGATGAAAGTCTTAGTTTAATGTTAGTGATGACCTGCATGATTCTCGTCGTATAAAGACAAAAGACTTTTCTTCTTGTTTCCTTTCTTTTTCTGATGCTGTATTTTTGTGGGTAGATGCTGATGTGGGTGTCAACATTGAGTCACAGAAAACTCGCACCCACAGTGGGGGAAATGTCCACATGATGTTCGTTTCGCACTCTATCTTTTTTTCAGCATTGACGACATTCTTGAGTATTCGCAGTTTTTACAAGTGTCGATTGCAAACATCTCTATAATGTAATCACCTCATTATCTTGTACAATTTGAATTTCCAACGAGTAATTTTGACTCGAAATCAATCGCTTCTTAGTGATCACCTTCTTAAAGTGAACGTATTTTGTTCTGTTCTTAGTCTTACATACTCTCATACACACATGTGAATGACGCCATTGGATAATGAAAACTTGAAAATTCTCTTGAATGTTTCCATTAGAGAGTTTTTACTACAATCATTCAAACTAATCTCAATGACATGCTGGATTTTCTATGAAGATTAATACTTTCTAGTCTATTATTTTCATGATATTTATTCAGGATTATAAATATTTTTCGTGAGTAAAAAAGATCAAAATGATGAACGTCAATTAAATATTGCCTCTTAAAAATAAATAGTTTCGCCCAAGTTTTGTGTGATCTGGTTTGGAATAGTCTTCTCGGTTTGTATTCAAGCATATATGCTTTTGATCATTTCGATTAACTTCGAAATACATGAGCAACATTCGCACTTTTTTCTTGTCATCCAACAAAATACACCGATAATTATCGATACAAGACTAGATGCAATCACTCCAAAATAGACGCATACGAAAATTAAATTACATTTTTCATCAGGAACGTACCAGACTAGTGATGTTACATTCTTTTGTTTGTAGAAGCATGGATAATGAATACCAATCTATGAAGCAGAACTAGCGAGACTATTTAATTTATAGACGAAGAAATAGAATGCTATACCTGTGTTTGTTTGTGCTGTCTGTCTTCGACATAATTAAGAAAACTACTATTAACAAGCGTCCCATTGAAAATAGCATATGACACGAGGAACTTTTCGTTAAAACACCGATTAGTAGAACATGAATATTCATCACAACTTTAACATTCACGTGTGACAAATGTATAGTTTATCAAAAGACAACGTGTATTTATATAAATCACGCGGATTCGATGCTCATTTAAATAGTCGGAGGCTGCAATAGAGCCCACAATAATACCAGTAAAGAATAAGCCACATAGAATGATAGATCCAAAAAGCAAAGCTACTCGTCCTATCCGATAGCATAGTGTGTCACACACCTTACGCATCTACGATTTTGGTGTATATCATTTGGTATAAATCAACTTCATGTCGACTACTTATTCATTTAATTGGTTGGAAAAAAGCCAGGATTATATGCGAGAAAAATTACGCTTGAATACGACGTGATGCATTCGACACGAACAATAAAAATCGATCGGCAGAAAAATTGTTCATCTCATAGTAGAACAAGTATTGAGTTGTTTTTCTCAAGAATTAATTGAAGAAAACATGTGAATAGATAAACGACTTTAAACAAATAGAGACAATATTTCTAATTGGAACAGTTTTCTCGAAGATGTGAATGCCTTCCTTTTTTCAAATAGTTTCCAAAAAGAAACTTATAAGTTTTTCTATATGATTGAGTAGAGAAATATGTGTTGAATCGAACGATGCAGAAATCATTCAATAATCTTGAATATTAATTGAGTAATCACTGTTAGATTGACTGTAATTTAATTTGTCTTTTTTTTTTTTTTATTAAGAGCACGGTTTCTGATAAGAATAATAAGCTAGAAAAGTGTTCCTAATAAGAAGAGGAAATTATTTTAGAAATTTAATATCTTAGTGGTTATAAGTTTTAAAAATCTGAACCACAAGATGAATACTCCTAGGTTGATCAAGAATATTTTTTCTGACGAAAGTACACATAAATGTTCAAGCTTGGACAATAAAAACATCCATTTACTAAAAATATTGTCTTTTCTATGCATTATACATTGTCAATCCTTATTAAAAACATGTTTTCAGTTCATTGTTTTTCAAGAACAGTCCTTTTTTATATGAACAAATTCATTTTCTGCCAAACGGACGTAAATTACTTAATTAATTTTTAAAATTACTGAATAATTTTCACATTATTTGATTCAGCATATATTTTTCAATCGAATTATATAAAAAAATGTATTCTCTCTCATTCTATTTATTCTTAATCTTCGATCACTTCGTCATTATTACAAACGGCTAAAAGCGAGCCATATCTTTTTTCGCTCGTATCGAGTGCCTTGTGTCGCAATCAAGCGTAACATCATTTGCCGTCATTTTGCTTGCAGATGCTTCTGGGTTTTTCCCAACAAATCAAGTGAATAAATAGTCGATACGAATTTGCTTTATCACAAGTAATTCACATCCACTTCGTAGATGAGTAAGGTGTGCGGTACTGTATGCTACAAGATAGGCTATGTGGCTTTAGTATTAGCACTTGGCATTCTTCATTATCGGTATAATTAAAGGCTCTATTGCAGCTTCTAATTACGTAAAAGAGCGTCGTTTACGTCAATCTTTTACAAATTCAAGTTGTCTTTTATTAAACTATATATTTCTCAAACATGAATGTCAAAGTTGTAGTAGCGATTCATGTAACATTTATCAATGTTTTGATGAAGAATTCTTCATGTCATATGCTATTTTCAATGGGACGCTTGTTAATAGTAGTTTTCTAAGCTATGGCAAAGTCGCACAGCATAAACAAGTACAGGTATAGGATTTCATCTCTGTATCTAAAAGTTAAATAATCTCGCCAGTTCTACTTCATAGATTGGTATTCACTATCCA